GGGCTTACTGGCGTATGGGGATCGGTTCATTCTTGCAATGGATTCTCGAAAAGTTTACAGTTCTTTGAAGTTCATAAATCAGTCTAATCAGACCACGATCATCTGGGTCAGCCTGGGTCGCATACGTGCATATTTATACGTCGCTCGGACCTCCATTACAAAGAGGAAAGTACCCCCAACCGGGGTACTTGTCTCTCTGAAACTCGCGCGGCTCGAAGGATTGTTCACGGATGCGAGATGATTGGAAGAGGGCTCTTGCTCCCGAAAGAGCCCTCCTCTAATGAGAACGGGCGTTGTTCTCATTCTCTCGAAGGACTGATGATTGTAGAACCCGTCCATCGCCTTCACCTGGAATTTAGCGGTGTCTACGCTGCAGAGCCTAGTAGATACCTGCCGTCGCACAGTGGTCAAAAATTGATATTTAGGTGGACAAAATTATTTTTTCGATTTTCAATGTTTAAGGCAAAAAAGTGACTAAAAAGAGTGGGGAGAAGGTCTTGATAGGTATGGATCCATGTGGGGCAATGAGTACGGAAGCGTTTTGACTTAATACGAACCATGGATTTCTCTCTGGCTTTCGAAAAAGGGCCAAAACCTTTAGGGCCGCATTAGGGCCGCATCCACAGCGTCCTCCATCTCAGCGCTGAGGAGTGGGAGACCCATGAGGGATGCGACCCGTAGTGTTGTCTAGACTAGTGGAATGCTCTCGATAAGCAAGTTCCAACGAATATAATGTAGCTCGTTTAATTCGAAGAGTGTCTCATTATTCACCCCGTTGGGCCTCGAACTTCGTTTCTAGGGCAAAGATGACGACCAGAAACTCTCTCGGACTCATTTCCAAACTCAAATGATCCGAGTCAGTCGCGAAAAGCGTTCAAATAATTTTGTCCACCTAAAAATCGATTTTTGACCACTGTGCGTCGGTTGAGTGATCGATCAGTGATATACCGGCTTTCGTTCCCTGGGGGCTGAATAGTTCCGTATGATGGGAGCTCACGCCGATGGACGGGCGATTCAAGGATCGTTCTCCAGATCCGCATGAGGTGGGTGAAATACAAGGGTGCGATCATTTCCACTCAACAGGCGGCAGACCTTGGATTTCGAAGCGTATCGCGCGGCTCTGATTGTCACGGAGCTCCGAGCTAGATCCAGCAGAGGGGTCTCATGGCGCCGGGCGTCATGAAATCAGGGGTCCCGATCTCGATGAGCTTTTCTAGGCGTTCACCTACCCTCGAGCTTTCTCGTCGCTTCGAGCCTCATTAGGTGGAGAGAGGGACTCTTCGAGTACTCTACGCGGTGTTTCGCACTGAAGTGCCGAAGATCGCTTCGAGATCTCTCCGCTCTCTTTTGTGGGGTCCCTCTCCGCGCTGACTTCCAATCACCAGTTTCAACATAAAGCCACTCGACTCCTCGACAGGTTGTGCTGACGGTAACAACGGCGCTCGCAGAATTCGCCATGAATCTATCTCTGATCATTTTAGGTCTTTTCGCGACTAGCCTCGGCTCGGCGACAGCATTCGATACTCTGATGACCGCTATGGACATCCTCCATCAAGCGTTCGATGACCAACATCGCTCGATATGGATCAAATTGGGCGAGCACATGGAGAGGAACAAACTCCCACCTTCTGCCCTAGTGGAAATGGATTCTGAAGCTCTCGATGACCTTTTCCGACCGATCCTAGCCGAAGTTGAGGTGAGTGAATACTTCGATGCCTTTTCTCGTCCAACGTCGAACCTATCGTGGTCCAATTCTATTCTTATCGTCCATGTCAAAGAGACCTGCAGTGGACCTTCGGACACCTCCCACAGCCTCATAGGGATTAATCGGGACTTTCTCTGGAATTTCAGTCGCTCAGGAAATCTTCCGAAAACATTGTCAAGCACTTAGGCAAGGAAACCAAGGTACACATCAAAGTTAACAACAAGGAAATAAGTTTTCGTTGATTGATTGCTGGATTGCAGTTTCCCCGTTGGGGTACGGTCGCACTGGGAGAGTGTTTTCGGAGACCCTTCCTTAATTTATTGAATAAATACTCAGACGTCTAGTTCATGTTCATTCTTTACCTCGTCCCACATATGAGCTGCAGTACATGATTCGTCCTCCGTCGAGGAGTAAAGAGTAATTATTTATCTTTCCAAGCACGAAGCTCCAGGGAGCGGACTGAGTAGGTATGAATTTAACTTCGCGAGCTCATCGGGGACGATACCCCGCCTGTCGCCGGTGTGTTCCCAAGGTACGAGCGAGCCCAGGGACGGACATTGCGCTAATCGCTTCAGCCTTAATTGCGGCTGATATCCCTCCTCGATAGATTCCCGTGGGGCTCCCGAAGAACTTGTCCCGTTTGAGACATACGTCTGCCATGTAGGGCGTACTTTCATGTAAACAAGCACCGTACGTCAGCGTGCGGCGGCGCCTCAAACGCCAAAACAAGAGTGACGGCGAAATCCCGCGCTGCATCAGGCCCGCTTCTGAACCGCGGGGCAAGCGGCAGTCTCTTCTGAAGAGATCGACCGGAGGCCGAAACCGAATAGGCTGGTTTATCGAGGTAAGAAAAGCCGAGAATGTGGAGCTTCGCACCGGAGCTGACTGAGCGCATCGGTCCTCATGGGTCGTGCCACAGGATTTCGGAAGCGTCTATCTTAAGATCTATGCCACAGGCCGCGTTGTCCCGGGAACACGACTCCTGTCCTTGTCCTTGTGGCTCACTTCCGGAATGAAGGGGAAGAGGAAAAGCATCAGAAGGAGCTCGTTGGAATCCGACAGTGAGCCCGACGACGAGCACTGCCTCAGAGGGCAGCCTCTGACAAGGAAAATGAAGGTCGGTTCGAGATAACTGAAGTCTCTCCTCGGGAAGAAATTCCTCGAACTCGCTGTGTGATATCATTGGGAAGGATTTGGCACTGATTTCGATAAGTTCCAGCAGATAACCTCGGAAACAATAAGTCAGAAAAGAGTTTTCGATGAAGTTGCCCCTGTCGAATCTCCTTCCTCCTGGTGCCACGGTATCACGGCGAGTGGAGTTCGGGAGCCGCGTGACTTCAAGGGGGATACCTTTTACTCAACCCGGTCGCAGACGTCGAGCACCTTAAAACGAGAACTCAAGTGCTCTTCGAGGGATCTGGAGCACATGCGGAACACATCTGATCGCATCCAATCTCATATGAGCTCAGAGGAGCCGCAGAAGATCATCGAGATTCATATCGGCGAGGAAGAATTCGCAGATGTGTCGGGCCCCTCCAAAAAGCGAAAAATCAAGTCGGATACGAAGCCCCTCATGAAGAGAGCTCTCGCATTATATAGGATACGTAAAAGTCGTGGCAGTGGATCTTCCTGGTGACGACGGCTTGGGAGAGAATGGATAGTTTCTTGAAATTAGACTCCCAAGCGTGGGAGCAGGATGCTCACAGTGAATCTCATTTGCTGAACGGATTTAAAATTCGAAATACACTAAATCGAGCTCTCACGATACCGGATAGCAAGAGAAAATTGTTTGAGCGATTGTGACTGAATTAAGGTATTGTGATTCCTTTGACGAAGCATTATCGGATGAATTTATCCATAATACGTACTACAAGGAGGGTTGCCTCCCTAGCTCCTCATAGAACAACAAGGATATCAGTAAACGATGAAAGAGTAAGATAACCAATTATATTCTGTCTTCCTCATTTGGAGGCTGAATCGCTGAAATGTACCCTCTCCATGGCGCTCGACGCGATCACAAGTAGAGAGCGTCGACACGACGGGCGAAACTCAGTCAGACTCGATTGCGCCAAGAAGCCAAGGACTCAACTCCGGTGTGAAATGACGTAAAACCTATTCATTAGCGAGGATATGTTCGAGAAGCGGACTGAATGTATCACCTCGGCGATCCGCTGCAATGAGACTCGCGTCGGCTTCTCGCGGATCATCGAGCTGATGCTAGCTCATAGCTAGCTTGGAGTCTCCGCTACGCAAATGCAGGCCGCTATGATGGGACGGAGAGCTCGCGGGTGCTGGGCAATCGAATGAATGCACGTGTCGGTTGCGTTTCAGGCGTACTTCGAGGCGACCCCGAATTTTCAGTCTGTGTGTAGAGCACCCATTCGGCTCATCGGAGAGATCTGAATCTTAATGATGCGATCCCTCTCGTCTTTTTTCGCGGAGCTCCGACAGGACCTTGAGATAATTTGTTGGGGGGGGTAGCCCTCCGTGTACCTCCCGGACGAGCGTCAGCTGACGACTGGGGAGCATGACATGGCACTCGAACGTTTGGAGAAAGATACGGAGGAAGTCGGAAGGACCGCGTGACAGATAATAATTGTAACCCATGATTCTTGCCTAATCCCCGAATACTTGGGGACTGTCAGCAACGTGAACGCGGGGCCAGCGATCGAATTCCCCCGCCCGCCATCATCGGGAGGTTCCTGACTGCTGACACTTCCAATGTTCAAGACGGACCTGAATATTGGACCGATTTTCTGAACGGACCTGGATATTGGGCGCAGTCGAGAGATTCTATTTCCGACTCTCTGGCTCAACGAATCAGCCTGCATTTGGCTCGAATTCGGCTACTTTTGACTGCTAGATAGAGTTGAGGGTGAGTCTAATGGGATTATTCCCAATCCGGAGCTTTTCGCGAATCATTCACTTAGGGCTTCATTCGCCCAGATACGGCGGTCGTTCCCCGTGCCGAATCGAAGGAGTATCGGTCGGATTCGAATCCCGGTCGACGGACTCTCCGACTATTTTCGGCGCGGCGTCAGAAGCGGAAATCGTGAGGAGGTGTGCGATTGGCACCCGCCGTTCTTCGGTCGGGGACTGTCTACGATGGTGGGGTTATGAGGCGTCCAGAGTCCAGACCCCTCGCGGAAAGAATTCAGATACAAGATCCGGGGTGAGAAAGGTCAACCAGAAAGCGGAATCGAATACTGTTATTCATTTTCCAGAACTAGACTTCGTTCTGCATCTGGAGTGGTTTTTTTTCGTCAGGACGCCCGTGAATGCTCCTGGCTCCGGGATGACGCTACTCAGGCTCCGCTGTAATGCATTTCTGGCATTTGTGCTGAGTGCATCTATAGCAGTTTTCGCAGTGGGGATTCTAGGCTATACGGTGCTTATTCCCCAGTTTGTGGGCGCGAATGTGAACCAGGTAAGGCTGTAGCGATTTTCCCGCAATGAATTCGACTCATTTCTCCCTGATTGTCTCGAAACTAACCGACGGGTCGTCGAGTAATTAGCGCGTTCGTCACTACTCGTGCCAACGTGCGTTTCACTTCGTGAAATGCCGCAACGACGCCGCTCGCGCAGGAGGCGGTGTGGGTTCGATCCCTGCTGCCGGAAAAATATTCCTTACGGAAACGCAGGTACTCGGCCTGGATCCTCCTGGGTACTTTTGCTCTATGGATCCGTCCTCGGAAGCGATGTGAATAACAGTACCCGGGACGTTAAACCGTGGCTGTGTGGATCAGCCCGAAAAAGTTTGATTGTCTCGGAAGTGGATTGAAACTCCCATTCCAGCGGAATATGGAAAGCGGTCCTGTTCTAGAGCTGATTTGATTCTTCGCTCCAGAAAATGCGCCTGATCCCCGAAAACGAGGCTCTCGAGAGATGGGCGAACTACTCAGACCCCATATATCTATCGATACATCTGTTCAATATAACGAACATCGAAGAGTTCAGGGATGGGGGACCTCCCAGAGTTCAGGAGATCGGACCTTATGTCTACCTGGAGAAACGAACAAAACGGGTTGATTACATGGATGAGAATGTGGTGAGTATCTTCCACGAGATCCCTTTCGGATTCCGGCGATATTCGATGAGGAGCTTCCGTGGGAGCTGAACGGCTGATCTCTGGATCGTCGGATCGATTCGCGAACTGTAACGCTTTCCCCTTCCAGATTTCCTACTCCGAGTACAAGTCTTATAGATTCCTGCCGGAATTTTCGTCTGGTGATCCGAAAGAAGACATTGTTCACGCGCTCAACGTTCCGCTGGTCTCCGTCGCTGACTTCATTGAGAAAACCATTCCTAACTTCCCGTGGTTGGAGCCAGTTTTCCAGAGTGTTCTCCATGCACTAACGTACAAGCATGACGAAGACATCGGTGAGTTCCATCGGCTCGCTCCGAAATAGCACCTATAAAGAGCAAAATATCGAAGTCATAAAGAGGAGTTGAGGATTTATCGATAAAATTGTTCTCCTTCTCGTCAGTGGTACGTCGCACGGTGGACGAGATGCTTTTCGCCGGATACGATACCCCGTTCGTTGTCGAGGCTGTGAGGCTGGCGAAGAAAGCGCTGCCTTCGCTAGAATTTGACTCGCACGATCGTTTCGGACTCCTGCTGAACAAGAATGGATCGATCGCAGACCAGTACACTGTAGGCACGGGCGCTGGAGATTTGCCCTTCACGAAAATAATCGAATGGAATGGTAAAACTGAACTGCCCTACTGGGGGAGCGATCATTGCAATCAGATCAATGGCACCGACGGCTCCCAGTTTCCGCCGCTCACGGACAAAGGGAACAGGCTGCAAATTTTCTCGGCCGAGCTATGCCGCTCCATCCACTTGGAGCATGAATCCGATACAGAAGTCAAGGGCATTGAAACGCAAAGGTGAGGAGAACAGTACCTCCGACGGATCTCCTTCCCACATGGACCCATTCGCGTCTCATACATTGATGATTATTATTCCTCCGCAGATACACAGTGCCGGCAGCCCTGTACTCGAGCGCCGAAGAGGTGGAATCGAACGTTTGCTACTGCGAGTCTCCCGACAAATGTGATCTGAGCGGAATAATGAATATCAGCAAATGCCGCAAGGGTTTGCCTTTGATGATGTCGGCTCCTCACTTCTACATGGGTGAACCGAAACTATCCCAAGATATCATAGGCCTGAAACCCACGAAAGAAAAACATGAGACTTTCCTCGACATCTCTTCGGTGAGCGATTCCAGTACAGAAAATTGATCATGGCGATCCACTCGGCATGTTCCGTGGTTATTGAACTAACGCATTAGTCATTCATGAAATCGGCCTCTCGCTCTGCAGATGACCGGACTCGTGTTGCGAGCTGCGAAGCGATTGCAAATCAACATTGAAGTCAAGCCCAGTCTATACGTGCCGTAAGTCCCCTCCGAGTTTGCTCTGAAATTACCCGCAGACTTCCATGCCTGTAGGATGGACTCAGCATCTTTCATCACGTTTCAGGACTCTGGAAAATGTCACAACAAGAATAATTCCAGTAGCGTGGATCGAGGAGGTGAGTTTAAATCTCTTCTCAGGGCCTGCGACCTGAAACGGGTTCGATTGTTCAAAGCGTTCGAAATCAGAGGGAATTCTATGGTCATCTTTCATTTCAGCGTATGGAGGCCACGGTTTCGTTCACGGGCTTACTGAAAGAGAAATTGGTTCGTCCACGGAATTTCGCCATCGCTGTGTGCTCTCTCGCTGTTTTGATTGGCGGTCTCTCCACAGTGATTGTGATTGTCGTCTCCTGCATCAGAGACGCTAAATACTTCAAATCTTTTGATCTCAAAGCCATCAGCGCCGATGACGTTCGGGGAGCTCCCGAGAAAACGAGAGAAAATCTCGAAGAGGCGACCCTCTCCCTCAAAAACGGCTCTGAAACAATAGTTGTCACGACGAGAAACGGGACTTGACGGAGATACGGGTCAAATCACATCTGTAATTATTATAACAATAATCTAATCTAATAATAATATATTCTTCGTGCTGAAATCTCTCACGACCGAAAATACAGAAAGCTCTGCGGACATAGTCCACTGTGTGATTTCTCTTGAGCTGTCCAGCGAGGAAGGAACCTTTATTTGCCTCTTCAGATCGGATGCAGACTGTCCCGATGTCATATATGTATGTTTAAAAGCTATGAGAACTAGGATAATGCCTAAAACGTGTGACTGTCTTTCGATTCTGGATGGGCTCGGACCCGATCCAGGAACCGAGAGCGTGAATATCTTGCTTTCTCGCGCGAATTACAATGTTCCTCAATGGAGAGGAAATGGAACGCTTAGATGAGGTAGATGATATCATCCGATACCATGACCTGGTTTGCGTCGGACATCTTCTCCAAGGCGAGATTGACTTCTTCCCTCGAAAAGGGTTTTTTGAGAGACAAACCTGGAATATTTGAATCTTAAGAACGACCGCATCACCTGTGCAGTGCTAGAGTAAGCAGTCATCGGATCGGAAGCGGCGGAAAGGGATGGAGCGATTCCATTCCTGGACTCGCCCCACCGCCGCCCCCTTGTCCAGGCTCTCGCGATAAAGACTTGGGCAGACTCTCGGAATACTGATACTCCCCGATATGTTTCCCCAGGATAGATAACAATGGGTCGGGTCGGAGAGGAACCACTCACCTGCGAGATAAGTCATCAATTCATCAATGGCCATCTGCTGGGATCCAGCAGTCCGTCTGAAGGCTTTATTTAAGAGAGATCGAAATTCGTCAAGTCGGTCAAGAACACCGATCGATGTCGCCCGTGACGACGTCGATGGCAACGGAGCTTCTTCTTCTTCGGGCGCCTCTTCCCGAACTTTCTTCTTTGGTTTGAGCACAGGGGTCTCGGGAGTCTCTTCACGGTAATCGAAAACATCTTTTTCCTTCTCCTCTTCAGAACTCACGGCACCATCCTCCGAGTCGCGCTTCCGTTTCCGGGGCTTCTCTATGACTTTCTTGAAGTAAGCGAAATGAACGAGCTCGATGGCTCGCATGGCGTCATCTTCCGTAACTTTCGCCGAGAGCCTTGCTTTGGCTTGGGCGGTCGCGATTCGGATCAACGTCTCCAGTGTTCGGGCAGTGATAGGCTGAGTCTGGGGTGGCAAAATGAAATATGAAATACAGTCATTTCAACGGGTCTTCGATGGAGGGTTGCCACTATTGAAAATCGAGTCGACGTACCCTGGCCATGTCTGAGTGATCCGAATCGAAACTCCGGAGGCGCGGATATTCCTCGCTGATGAGGCGGCCAGCTTCATCGCTGAGCGCGGGCTTGACCTGTCGAGCGAGGTGAATGTATTTCTTCAGGAACGTCAAGGAGACTCTTTTTTCCTTGTTGTTTTTGCGTGGTCCATGCAGAAGAGCATCGTGTTTTTCGTAGATCTGGAAGGGTAGACGTAGTTTGTGAATGACTGCGCCGAACGTCTCGGATCCCCGTCCGAAATCGTCCGAGACTGCACCCCGTCAGGACCATGTCCGAGAAGTTGCTCCCCACCTCCATATTCTGCCTCCCGGTGGCCGCTCTGGGATCCTCAGTGGACAGATGATCCGCCATATTTTTGAGGGGCATCGCCTCCCCATCCTGTTCATTTGGGTTCCGATACCGGTGCATTCGAACAACGTGTTCCGCTATGCGCAAGTCGTTCTCAGGGTCCATCGTGTCGAGTAAAACGAACAGCAAATCAAAACGTGACAGCAATGAGTCCTGCAAAGCAACCCCCGCATGATTCCCGTTTTTCGTTTCACCACAGCTGACGAAAAATGCTTGATCTCAATGAAGGATCTCGCCCTCGGGGCGACGCGGGGAGTTCCCAAGTTCGATGATTAGCCGCAGCGCTTTCAGCTCACCAACCTGGAGACCGATGTTCTCCATCGGAGTTTTGTATTGATCGTATCGCCCATAGACAGGATTGGCCGCAGCGAGTACCGAACAACGAGCATTGAGTTGAGCCTGGATTCCAGACTTGGCGATTGTCACTCGTCCCTGCTCCATTACTTCGTGAATTGCCGTACGATCGATGTCTGACATCTTATCGAACTCGTCGATGCAGACCACCCCTCGATCTGCGAGGACCATGGCGCCCGCTTCGAGACGACGGTCGCCCGTCTCCTGGTCGGTCGTGACCGCGGCCGTCAGACCCACGCCGGAAGATCCTCGACCCGTGGTTGCGATCGCCCGTGGTGCGGTGTTCAGAACGAAACGGAGCATCTGAGATTTGGCCACGGATGGGTCTCCGATCAGAAGGATGTTGATGTCTCCTCTGAGTCTCGTTCGATTTTTGGGCAGAATCTTCTCGGTGCCCCCCAACAATAAGCACAGGAGGGCCTGCTTCACGAATTCGTGGCCGTGGATGGAAGGTGCCAGCGACTTTGCGAGTACGGCGAAAACATCCTTGCCCTTCTCGCGAGCGAACTGTCTGACTTTCTTCATATCCTCCGCCGTCAGTTCCGTGGCGATTTCTTTTGTGAGCAGGCGAATATTATTCGCGAGCAGCACCGTCCGGAAAATACCGTTAGTGAAGCCTCCCTGTGCAAATGGCAAGCAGCGATAGAGTCCAATTATCTGCACTCGGTCACCTGGCTTGCACAGATCGACCATATCGTCATCGCACAAGATGTCTACGGAACGAGGGAGTTGTCCCGCCGGGGCTTTCTCGGGCATTTCTTGTATCGTCAGACTCTGGTTATCCTTATATGTGGATAAGCCGAACTCAGTTTCCAGCAGATTCCCATCATCATCTTTCGTGGGATAAACAGCAGAAGATGGAGTCGAGTCGTAGGAGGTCATGTCCGTGTAAGTTCGTTCGAGGAATTTTTCGGTAGCCGGGCAGTAGTGCACAGAACGCACTACTTTGGGCTTGATTAAGGACGCCTTGGTGACGATTCCTATGGATAGCAGACAATGGAAATAGCTTGGAGTCGAACGGGAGCTCTCACGGAGGAGTATCTCAATCTGAGGTCTCAATCTTCACATCTCTACTTGGAACAGTTACGAATACCACTATCTCCTGCTCACCTTCGACGCAAACGATTCCTCCTAGATAAGTACAGGTGAGAGATCTGGGAGTGAGGTGACGGTTTCCGAAACTCCCCTCGAGTCCAATGGAATAACGGAGTCCCCGATAGTCTTTTTGAAGGGAAGGCTCCGCTTGCATGACGATGCTTTTCAGGGCGAGCTCAAAAGCCACCATTTCCTCAGCGGTATTACTCAGGAGCTCCGATGCTCTTTTCGGGTTCTTTGTTCGGATGTCGTTGATGTTCACTATCAACCTACGCTTTTTGAGCGATAGCATCTCCGTAATCTTATCCTTTCAGAATAGAGAAACTCGAAAAATTTAAAAGAGTGATCGCAGTTTACGTGAAGATCTCACGCAGTTTCTGCTTGGACCCCAGGAGCGGAGGTGCGCGAGTTAGGTATCGATTCGAGGGTCAATTTTGGGGCGTTCTGTCATGCGGCCCCCATTCTCTGCCGAGGGATTTTCATCCTCTCACTCTCGAGTACCTAAATGGTCTCGATCTAGAATAAGGATTCTTTCTCTCGACGTCATTGACGGAAGTAGCGCTCGCAAGTCGAACACTGAATCGAAGGATCGAACTCACTCTATAGTTGCCCTCATCATTGTCATCGTCGAGGAAGTCTTGATACTCCCGCTGGAGATCGTTCAAAGTATTGCTCACGGTTTCGTTCGCCATCGACGAATACCAGGAGTTTACCAACGCGTTCCACTTTCGAACTTCACCCACGACTGAGTAACTTTTGGCGCGAGAAGCAGACCGCGCAGTGCACTTCACAAATATCCCCCGCTGCCGCGCGATTTTTCGAAGCGATCATCGAGATCAGATAAGGCCCACACAGTGCCCGGAGAAGAGACCCAGCTGTAAATACCTCTATTGCTCAGTGACTGAGAGGCCTGAACTCGAGCATATTGTGCGTTGTATGTGGAAGAGATCGAGGGAGCTCTTCTGCTCATTCTGAATTAAGACACCGAGATCGTCAGGATTTCGATTCCGTGCCCCTCGGGACCGTCGATCAGGGTCGCGGAGGAACGTGGAGATTGGCTCATTAAAAAAAAAGATTTCGAAATGAAGAGAGTAAGATTCGATCCAATATCGCTCTTGCGAGATTTTATTCGATTCGATGAGGATACTCGACCGAGATATCCACAAGTCCACGTAGGTTGGGAGTGTTCTTTAACGTAATGATTCGCGTCACCGCTCTTAAAATCAAGGGTTCGTGTTGTTTCCCAGGAGAATTATACAAAAGTGTCGAGCGAGCTGCGATCACGTTTTCAGGGACGATCGATCAGATGAGATATATAATTTCTTCGGAGACCATGACTTGATTCGCGTCCGACATCCGTTCGAGAGCGAGTTCTACCTCTTCTTGCGTGAAAGGTGTCTTCAGCGATTCGCCTGGAAAGAAATGCTCGAGTCAAAGACTCCGAATGGCGGTGGGATTTCAGCTCCGATTCCCGAGAGATATCGGGGTCTCATGGCATGATGGGATTCCTTGAGTAGTCCGAGAACACTTCTCTCACCTGCTAGGAACTCCATCAAGTCTTTCAGCGGCATCTGTTGCGACCCAGCTGTTTTCCTGAAGGCCTTATTGAGGAGAGTTCGGAACTCGTCGAGTCTGTCGAGGAGCCCTATAGACGCCGGGGTAGACGAGCCGGACGGCAAGGGAGCTTCTTCCTCCTCTGGTTGTTCCTTACGAGCCTTTTTCTTGGGCTTCTGGATCTGAGTCGCAGGTGAGTCTTCGCGGAACTCATATGCGTTCTCTTTTTCACCTTCGTCCATTGGCTCATCTTCCTCTTCTTCATCAGAACTACCGGCATCATCGTTCGAGTTGTGTCTCCTTTTCCGGCGCTTTTCGATCACCTTCTTGAAATAGGCGAAATGAACCAACTCGATAGCTTTTTTCGCGTCGTCCTCGGTGACCTTTGCTGACAGCCGGGCTTTCGCATGGGCCGTCGCCAGACGGATCAGGGTCTCGAGAGTACGCGCCGTGATCGGTTGAGTCTGCAAGCATGGTGATTATTCAGTTGACTATTCATTCTGAATCGATGACTATGCAGACCAACATCCGGACGGGAGAGAGAAGGGGAACAGGTCCCAGAATACGAACCCTGGCCATGTCGGAGTTTTCCGAGTCGAAACTACGCAGCCGAGGATACTCTTCGCTGATGATGCGGCCAGCTTCGTCTGTCAGAGCCGGCTTCACTTGTCTAGCGAGGTGGATGTACTTTTTCAGGAACGGAAGGGAAACTCTTCTCTCCTTGTTGTTCTTACGGGGCCCGTGCAACAAGGCGTCGTGCTTTTCGTAAATCTGAAAAGTACCTCGTCATTTTCAGGAACGGCTCGAGGGATACGTTCAAGTGCCGAGGCGACAATCACATAATGAGCTTCTCGAATGATAGTCGCGGCCTTCCGCACCTCTGTGGTTTGGCCGCCGGTGACGACTTTGGGATCTTCCGTGGACAGGTAGTCCGCCACATTCTTGAGAGGCATAGCCTCACCGTCCTGCTCGTTGGGATTACGGTACCGATGCATCCGAACTACGTGTTCCGAGATTCGCAAATCGTTCTCTGGGTCCATCGTGTCCAGCAGGACGAATAGCAGATCGAAACGAGACAGGAGAGAGTCCTAGAGAATGGAAGAAGTCCCTTGAGTGACTTCGAGATTCAGTGCGTGACGTAGCGTAATCGGGATCCGCTGAGTGGCCTCGTGGGACAACGTACCTGGAGACCGATGTTCTCCATCGGCGTTTTGTATTGATCGTATCGCCCATACACAGGATTGGCCGCAGCGAGTACCGAACAACGAGCATTGAGTTGAGCCTGGATTCCGGACTTGGCGATTGTCACTCGTCCCTGCTCCATTACTTCGTGAATCGCCGTACGATCGATGTCAGACATCTTATCGAATTCGTCGATGCAGACCACCCCCCGATCTGCGAGGACCATGGCACCCGCTTCGAGACGACGGTCGCCCGTCTCCTGGTCGGTCGTGACCGCGGCCGTCAGACCGACGCCGGAAGATCCTCGACCGGTTGTGGCAATGGCTCGCGGTGCGATATTCAGAACGAAACGGAGCATCTGAGATTTGGCCACGGATGGGTCTCCGATCAGAAGGATGTTGATGTCCCCTCTGAGCCTGGTCCTGTTCTTCGGCAGGACTTTCTCGCTGCCGCCGAGCAACAGACACAGTAGGGCTTTTTTGACGAAATCATGACCATGGATGGAGGGTGCCAACGATTTTGAGAGAACAGAGAAAACATCGCCACCCTTTTCACGAGCGAACTGTCGGACTTTCTTCATGTCATCCGCCGTCAGTTCGGTAGCGACCTCTTTGCTCAGCAGACGGACATTGTTGGCTAGGAGAACAGTTCGGAAAATTCCGTTTGTGTAACCTGCTTGAGCGAAGGGCAAGCAGCGGTACAACCCGACAATCTGCACACGATCGCCGGGCTTGCATAGGTCGACCATGTCATCATCACATAAGATATCGACTGATCGGGGGAGCTGGCCCGCAGGCGCTTTTTCCGGCATTTCCTGAATGGTCAACGTCTGGTGGTCCTTGTAGGTTGATAAACCGAATTCCGTCTCCAATAGGTTTCCGTCGTCGTCCTTGGTGGGATATATCGATGATGACGGCGTCGAATCGTACGAGCTTATGTCCGTATAGTTTCGTTCGAGGAATTTCTCGGTCGCTGGACAATAGTGCACAGACCTGACAATTTTCGGCTTGATTAGGGATGCTTTCGTGACGATTCCTGTGGACAGAGTTTGCGTAAGAGATACAGTCATCTCATACACGGAAATTCGAGCCTCGAACGATTTTATACCAGGATTGAAAGCCGAACGAATCATAGTCACCTTCAACACAGACGATTCCCCCAAGATTGGTACAAGTCAGAGATCTCGGAGTGACGTGTCTGTTCCCGAAACTCCCTTCGAGCCCGATCGAAAAACGTAGTCCTCTGTATTCTTTCTGCAGGGACGGGTCTGCTTGCATGACGATGCTCTTCAGGGCGAGTTCGAAGGCCAACATTTCTTCTGCCGTGTTATTCAGAAGTTCGGCAGCTCTTTTGGGGTTTTTCGTTCGCATATCGTTGATGTTCACAATCAGCCGGCGCTTCTTAAGCGCGAGCATCTCGGTAATTTTCTCCTATTAAGAGCAGAGAACATTCTTAGTGAGGGCATTTAAATCTCACAGATGATCGGCGCACGAACTTAGTGAAGCTATTGCATTTGGTTGATCAGCGCGAGATCGAACACCGACAGCTATGCTTTAGTCTTCCGACTCCTTCGTTGATTATTCTCGAGTTCAAAGGTTTAGGAATCATCCGATTCGGAGCTTTGGAGGATGCGTCAATCACACCGCCTTTCGAATTTATACGTCTTTCGCGTAGTTGACTCACTCTGTAGTTTCCCTCGTCATTGTCATCGTCTAGGAAATCCTGGTATTCTCTTTGGAGATCGTTCAACGTGTTGTTCACCGTTTCGTTGGCCATTTTTCACGATTTTCCACGACAGCCAGCGGTCGCGTTCCACAAGAGCAGCTTTTGGCGCGAAATGGTCGCGCGCTCTTTTGGCTCGCCCTGCCGACGACGAGCGGACGCGCGCGTCCTTCTCCGCATAGAACGAGCGTTCACTCAGGGCGCTAGTTTTCAAAAAAAGAGAGATTTCCTCAGTGTCTCCAACATTTGAGCAGGTGATGATCGCATCGATGATCGGATATAGGATCCAAAAAACGGGATTCTCCCCTCGAGCGAACGAATGGAACCACGGAGTGTCTGTGGTTTTATTCACGGCTCGGAATTTCCCTGAGGGAAAACCACATGCGGCTTGCAGCTTTTTCACGCTAAAAATATGCTCGTGGAGCATTTCAGATGCGCGGAACCCGCCACAGGCCGTAGCTCGCGTCCTTATCCAGTACGATAAACAAAGGCTCTGCTGCCCACAATCAGCCTCTCTAGAGTATCTTAGGTCGCGGGCTTACGAAATCTCCGGAGCATCTGAATCACGCTTGGGGGTGAGGACGACAGAAAATGAGAATGGAAGAACACGGGTCCGGTCGTTTTCCTTAACGAGTCCGATCGCCTAGCGCTTCCCTCAGCGGAGAAAATCGGCAAATCCAATCATGATTTCGAGAAATTCTCAAGAAAAAAGGCAGAGCGAATGTTCTGTGAATCTCTTTATTAAGTGAAACGAGTATGGTGTCAATTTATCTACACAAGTAAAACAGAAAAAGATTGTTCTGAGTTTCTCAAACGCCTGTCACTCGCAACGTCGTCGACGCGTTGGAGAACTCCCAGTACTCGTCTAATTTGAGCTGTGCCAACATGACGGAAGGGTTGTTCAAGTTCATCGCGTACTGCTTCCACAGCTCGATATTGATGATGCCCCTGCAGTAGAGGGTCACGAGCATTAGCACGAACGCCATGAAGAAGGGCTTCCACAACGACCAGGAGTTTCCTGAGTTACAGTTCCGACACAAGGAGGTCTGGATGCAAACATCTTTGTACTGCTCCTCCTTCTTGGGTATGTCTTCTTCGAATCCGTTCTTCCCCGGGCTGTTCGGTGTTTTGCGGACGGTCGGAGCAGATTCGATTCGTGTGCTCTCGAAGGCAGGTGGTAGCATCACGGTTTTTCGCTTCGAATATTTGGGTTGAGGTGAAACTTCAGTCTTCGGTGCTTCGGCCGTTGGTTCTTTCGATGCCTGTTTCCTGGCGCGCGATCTCGTGTTCATCACTGGACTCCCCTGCAAAATGGTTGGAATAGGAATAAAGAATTCAGCCTCCGGTGACATGAGAGGTACGAATCAGGCCGGGGGTTCGAATCTCCCTGACCTCCTTACAACGGCCCGGGATTCCTACATACCGATGGATTGATGTTTGGAACTCGCGCCATTGTCTTCCGCTTCGAAGATCGTTGAGCCACCTCCATTTTCCGCACTGATGCTCGTTCGCTTCGTAGAAACTCAACGCAGACGGAGTCCTTCCACGTTGGAAGCGCACCGGGTGCTCGCAGATCCGAGAAAAACAAAAACAGAAATCTCCGAAAATGGCGCCAAAGCCGATGTTGTGAACCTCCCGTCCCCGGCGGCAAGTGTCTTCAGCGCTCTCTGCTCTCGCCCCCAGCTGTAGCGGCGGTGCGGCCGATCGAGCGGCTTGATGGAGCTGGCAGGTGCGCCTGCGAGCTCATGAACTTGGTTGAACCCGGGAAGCGTCCCATTGATCCACGGGAGTCATAGGGACAGAGCTCCGGCAGCCGTCTTCGGGTCGGGAGTCACGCCATCCGAGCTGATATCGTCAGAAAGTGAACTATCCGGAAAGTTCAAACCGGACTGAGGAGAATAAATCGATTCTGCTGCGGATCCCGGCTCGGGAAGGATTGAGGACGATGAGACCGCCTGATCTATTTCCGGATCAGGAAGTCCACAGAGGGGCTCCAGAATTGGAGAATATGAAATTCGTGGCGAGAAGCCCGGTATTTCTCCGAATGATAGAGCAATTACCGGTTCCGGCTGGGGTCCCACGCTAAGACTGAGTTTCCCTGGCTCGCGTGAACTCTGGAAGGATTTTCGATTTCTCGAGCACAGCGATGAGAGATTTCCGAAGCTACAAAACCGAGCTCAGCGCGGCTTCCAAAGGCGGCGGACGTCATCAAAATCTGCTTCAGGACTTCAAGATGGAGCTGTTGAGCTACCCCCCGCTGATCGCCCACGAGACGATTCTCCTGGCGCCGCCTCTGCTATATTCGCTCATCGCGATCCGTCTATAAAGAAAATCAACGAAACCTGCGGAAGCGCGTCATAATTATCGCGGAGAGCGACCCTGATTGCTTAATATGGGAGTCATGCGGGTACCGGTTCTCGCCCTTCCCTCTCTCATGAGAGTTCCGACCGCGAACGCAAGGCCGCTTCCGTACTTCGCACAACCTCGTCTCGCATGCCGAGATGACTCGACTTTCCCGCGCCGACTCCACGGCTCCCTATCCGAAGAAACTTACGGAGTTCAGCATCACAGTGATTCGAGTCCGCGCGAGCGTTCCATCGATCATCCGCGTAACCCCTTTCTCAGCCGATCGGCAATCCCAGAATGGGTCGAGCTGAACCTTGTAAACTAAGCGGCGACTGAAGAGTGATCGCTCCGCTTGTTCGTTCACTTCATGTGTCGGATATCGCGGAAATCACTTCCGATCGTGCATCTGGTCTCTCTGCAAGGCTCTGGAGCGCCTGATGTGCACGACGCCCGCTTCGGGAAGAAAGCGCCACTGAAGCGACGGAGACGCACCGTGCGTCTTCAAGAGACACAACAATACCGGTGATCGAGTCAACATGTCGACATCTATATCCTGTCCTCTACTGATGCTTCCACGGAAGCCCATCATGGGCGAAAAGATAGCGAATCAAAAGGCCAAAAAATGCCACATATCGTTATGATGTTGCCCGCCAGCTGAACTGCACGTGTGAAAAAACGATCTCGGCAAACTGAACGCCTAGCTCGTAGTGATCGCTCGAAACAGAATCGAGAGCACAGGATAGAATTACGGGAGTCTCAGCTTGGAGAGAAGCGATTCGAAAAGAAAGTCCGAGCAGCTGAGGGAACGGCAACAGGAATCCAACAGCGCCGGGACAGGCGAGGCCTTAACTGTATTCATTGCTCCTCCAGCGTCTCGCTTCAGAGCCCGATCTCCAACTCTGATCGCGATTTCCTTCTCGCCCAACTTCACTTCAGATCTCAGGAAAACGCCCTTCACCTGTTCAGGTCCGCTATTCGAGCTCCAGTGTCAGGAACCGCCGCTCGAATAGGGACGATCAATGAGGCGGGAAAAGTTGTTGGTGAGAGCTTAGAGAAATGACGAAAAATCCTCTACTTGTAGGAGCCATTTAATATTGGGCATGTGATTATACAACTGTGGCTTCCGATTTTCACTTGTGAGCAACGCTGGCTTTCCATGTCTTGCGTGAGAACGCACCAATTGGCGCTGATTCGCAGCGTCACATTCGGAACCTCAGGATCTCTGACCTGAGGAGAAAATCATCTCTGAGTATCCTCCGATTCCCGAGAGCTTGCCTTCCGATTGATTCCTTTCCCGGGGGAGGGTAGGGAGAACGATCGATAGGGAACGGCTTACTCACATTTCTTGAGACAGTCACAACGTCGATCTCAGGCCTGCTCTGGAGCAGCATTTCAGCCGCGATGTTGACCGTTTGCACGACATCGAGAAAGGTGTTTTCGCCGACGTCTCGCGGGATATGCGATGAGCCGGTGCGCAAGGATTTCGCGTGGTGGGGCCGTGCCGCACACCGTGTGCTTAAAGAGAGCGTCAAGAGGATCGCGCACACCGTTTCGAAGACTTTGACTGTGTTCATCGTGTCTACTCTCGAGGTGCGTTCCTTGCTCCTGCCCTGTCAACAGTGGCTCATTCCTCTTTATTCCGTTTCTTATAGACTCTAAGCTGTCTAAGGTTCCGGAAGACTTGTCACCGCTAATGGTCAGACGCGGAAAACCACGAAAGACACTGTTTTCGATGTCGTGCGGTTTCCGAGGGAAGCGTAGCCCACTTCTGTGTGCCATCGTAGTTGTGGTCGAACAGCTTCTCTGCGATGAGCGGATTCCGACTCGATAGTGTTCCTGGGACCGCAGGTTTCACTCGCGAAAATATTACCATCAAGTTTGCTCATCTGGAATTCCGTAGGATCGGATCGAGGAATTTGGATCGGAGTTTGCGCCGATGTCCGGCTCAGCGGGAAATTCGATTATCGAGGGTCGGGGTCAAGGAGGTCTTCCAGAGTGAGAGTTTTCCAGAACGATCCAATGGAGTCGACAAGTCATTGGACCCAATAGGCGGACCCTCTGGAGTACCCACATATTTTCCTCAGTGACGGTTCTCATGAGCACGCTCTCCCTCGCTGAGGACGATTGCTCATCAGCTTTACAGCCTTGCTTATCCATTCATAAGTCGTACCCTAGATGGGCGGCCGCAGGGTGCCCGGCTTGACGGAGCGCGCGACATTTTGTCGTCTTCGTCGAGACGGAATGCCGTCCTGAGACATGACCATCAGAAGTTTCCGCTCTTTTGCAGGATGATGAAATGCGGAGATTCTGAACCCTCCTACTGGATTCCCTGAAGCGCGCAGGGTGTCGGTATTCTGTGGAGAGAGACCCGTCTTTTGGCGCCTCGTTTCGAATGTAGCATTCGAAGGGAAAGGTCAGCTGTACTTTCGCACACCTCGAGCATATCGTCCTGTTCATCGACCACAATTCCGAGGCTCGAGTCGACAGGCGACTGGACCACTAAGACAGGCAAGTTTTCCCGATTGCGAGCAGAATACCATTCCGGGAATCGAAATCGAATCGATGTTGTTTTTCACGGGTCATCCCCGGGTTGAAACTTTTGGAATGAGATCATCAGCCTGTACCATTCCGAATGTTTTATGTAGGATTGATGGAGTTCCGCGTCAGAGTACCGGGGAAGCCGGACAGGCTTTTGAAGGACTTCGATCCTCAATCCGTCGGACTTCCGGCGGATTTCAAGATCACGAATTTCGCCGAGATGAAAGGATGAGGTTGTAAGGTACGATCGCCCTGCCCGTCGATCGAAATGTGTCTCAATTTGAGAGAGCATACATTGATTCCGACAACGTCAATCGATCTTGTAGGTGCCCCAGGAAGAGCTGGAGAGTTTTCTATCCACTATCCGAACCCAACCGGCGATTTCCCGGGGAGACTCCTCTGGAGACACTGTCGGTGAGATGCTCGGTGAATATGATGGGAAATTGCATCGAATGACGTCTCGCTGACCCCTTTTTGCTCTTCCTCAGATATAGGTATGGACTGTAGCGTGGTCCCGTTGGGTGATTCTGGATTTTCTCTTGTACAAACTATCGATTATTTCTATCCGTCCGTGGAGGATCCCTACATGAATGTGAGTGGTCTTCGATGAACCTCCTGCCCGGTTCCTATGCAAATACGCCCCGCATAGCAAGCGAGAATACGCTTCCAATGGATCCCGCTCTGGAACTCTCGAAGCTTGACCGATTCCCGTCGCATTTCAGGGGCAAATCGCATGTGCAAACGTTTTGTCCGATCTCTACTCTATGGGCGTTACAAAGTGCGATAACATGCTCATGGTTCTCGCGGTCCCGAAAGGCATGACGTATGATGAGAGGCAGAAGGTTTGTGGAATTATTCATCTGTTAAAGATTTCTCAGCGGCGCGGCCTAACGCGGTCTCAAGGTTACTGCAATGACCGTTATCGACTTCCAGGTGGTCCCTCTTCTCATGAAAGGTCTTAACGACCACGCTATCGCTAGCGGCACCCGTTTCCGTGGAGGGCAAACAATTTTGAACCCTTGGCCGATCATCGGCGGCGTCGCAACCGCTTGCGTAAAGAGAGACCAGATCGTGATGTAGGCGCCTAATAAGTAATTAGGATCTTTCCATGTCCCCCATGTAAACGATCGGGAGACCTCCGGAGATTCTCTGAGCGATGCTCCGGGAGATACTGGATTTTTCCTTTTTCTTTCAGGCCTGACAGGGGAGTGGAAGGAGATGTCCTGCTGCTGACAAAACCTCTCGGTACACAGGTAGCGGTCAATGCCCACCAATGGCTGGAAATCCCTGAGAAGCTTGCCTGGCTTGATGGTTTTTCCAAGGAGACTATCAAGAAAGTTTATTTCCGAGCCATGGACAGCATGGCCCGACTCAATCGAATCGGTAATCTCCCAACATTATCGACAAGCTCCACTAGTGAAAGCTCATCTCGTCCTTGCGATCTCATACGGGGCGAACCTGGATGCGTAGGTCGCCAATATTTTTCGTCGGGGAGGGTAATGTTCAGGATTCCCGGTTGAATATCGTTTTCAAATTTCAGCTGCTTCGCTCATGCTCAAGTATGAGTGTCACGGCTGCACGGACGTCACCGGCTTTGGTATTCTTGGACATTCTGAGAATCTCGCAAAAGCTCAGATGAACTCCGTTGATCTGAAAATCTTCCGCTTGCCTGTGATACGTGACGTTCCAGCCATAGTTCAGAAGAGCGGCAAGTTCGGCAAACTGTTCGAGGGAACGTCTGCAGAAACTTCGGGGGGACTCCTCATGATACTGCGGAAGGATAAAGCACTCGCTCTCATGAGTGAACTGAAGACCCTCGAAGGCATGTCATCGTGGATCGTTGGTGAAGTTATTGAGGGGAATCGAAATGCCTTTTTGGAGAAGGACCCAGAGATCATCGAAGTTCCTGATGTAGACGAGGAAGGCTACCTGTGGTAGTGGAAGGATTCACGAAAAATCAATGACCCTTATCGATGAGTCCGAGCTATTCAGATGTCGGCGCTCTTTGCGCTTGAGGTCTATTTTTTCATTCCTTAGGAATATCTTCATTCCTTAGTAGTTTGGTCCATGTCGATCCAGAGTCACTTGGGGTACAAAGATGAACTGAATGGGACAAAGCGGAAGCTGCCTGTTTGGGGATGGGAATGTATCCCAAATAAAATCACGCTAAGATGACCATAAACATTTTTTTATACATTAACTAGCCATGAGTGCGCTTCGCGCCCTCGAGGCTAAATTGCCCGCGTACCTTGGTGCAGGAAGAATGAAATCAGGCGGAATATACGCGCATCATCTATCGGATACACTACAGAATTATGGAAGACATAATCTCCTTGTGGGATAATTTTGGAAAGAATTACCTACGTTCGATTTCGAAACTCTCGATTCTTTCGGAAACGCGAAGGGAGCGTTCCTCATAACTTCACAGAGTCAGGTGCTCGGAATAGCTTGATAGAATGCGAAGGAACATGATGGAATGCGGAGGAAAATGATAGAATGCGAAGGAACAGGATAGAATGCGGAGGAAAATGATAGAATGCGAAGGAACAGGATAGGATGCGAGGGAACATGGAACTCATGCGGTGCTGACACGCATGCTCTGGAAGACGATGAGCTCCTGAGGCTGGCAGGAATAGAATCCATTGGAGCACTCGATCCTCTGATCACCCCGATCATGGTCCCGAGGCGATTCGAGCCTCCGTAGGGATTCAGGAAAGCTCGCTCGTTAGGCTGCTGCGCCGTTATCCGAATCGCGCGATTGTCGCTGGAGCAGTCGTTATATCATTTGAAGACATTCTGGAGAGCTCTGCGTTCGATCTCGGAGCTATCGGCTCATCGGGTAATGCAAAGCGAGCGGTCCTCATAGTTTCGCAGACTCGGGCGGTCGGGATACAACATGACTCTCATGCGATGCTGACTCGCGAGCTCCGGGAGCGGATGAACTTCTGACTGAGGCTGGAGGGAATAGAACTTATTGGTACGCTCTCGATCCTATGATAACCCCGATCAGTATTCGATCACCCCGATCATGCTCACTTAGTAGGCTGCTGCGTCGTCTTTCAAATCGCCCCTTGGCGGAACGGTCGGGGCATCACTCTGCTAGTGGGGAGAAGAAACATCCAGCGAACACCGGAGAAAAACTTGCTAATTTTCTGGATGAACCTGAGAACGATTCGATTGATCGAGTGGAAAATTGCTTCCCACGCTAGCAGTAATGATTCTGCATCGTCTCGAAGTCATTTGAAGTCCCTTCACACGCTAATAGCTCCGATTTTCGGTACGGTGACGGACCGACATTACTGCTTTATTCTATAGGGGGATAGGGAGATTCCGGGTTCCTTTGAGAATCCGAATCGCAAGAGTCGACGCAAATCCAGCGGGAGATTTTCCAGCGAGGACCACCCACCTCAGCTCGGTATCTCGGGGGGATGATGGATGTACTCTTCGAAACTCCCCGATTCGGAGGTACATTTCAGAGCAAAGCTTTCAGATCTATAGGCGGGCAGGAGCTTCGATTCGTATCGGGGTAGAGACCGTTCATGACCGCGACGAACTTTTTCAATGTGCAGTCAGGGAATGGGCAATCTTGGATGGTTATCTGGGATGCGTCGCGGTAGTCCCCGCAAGCGGTGAAGCCTCGACTGTAGATCGAGCGTACGTAGAATTCACCTGTGGGGAGGATATGTGCATGAAAATATGAATCAGACGACGACGAGACGAAATGTTCTCTGACCTGCCTTGCTTAAACCACAGATCAGACAAGCGGAAGATTCGAGGTGAGTGATGGGAGAGCGTCACAGTGTGTCTCACCGTCGGAATCCCTTTTGTAAAGCTGAAAGTGAAGGGCTCCCAGGAATGACGGATACATCGCCACGTGATCGAATTTCAATGCGCTGAGAATCGCCTGGAATGGATGCGAATCGGGGCTTTCAGAGGGGGAACAGGATACGGCCTGCTAGGGTAGCTGCCCATAATATCGGAGTGCGAATCGAATAGTCCTCCCTCCCGCAGATCTACCTGGATCGACGTGTCATGGTACGACATGATCGAAAGTCGATTTCTGTGGCTGCCTTCAGCAGATCCTAGGGTGCGATTCGCAATCTGAAATTCCGTGTGAAATCAAGTCTATCCTCAGAGTGGTCTAATTCGAGTCTTTGCCTCCGCACCAAACCAGGTTGAAACAGCCCTTACCATTTTACCCATGTATTGTCCGTAGTATGGAACGGAGAGCTTCCAGTAGTCAAAGCTGAGTCTGGGGAAGCATTCGACAGGTATTCCGCGTCAGTATCGAACAGGTAATCGAAGTAACGCAATCAAATAAGGATGCCGTGAGCTAACCTGCGTAATGCCCAGTCCATAGACTTCCACTTCGCTTCCGCCCACTCTGGGACATGTAGGCCGTTGTACTTCTGAGCGTAGAGGGCATCGATAATGGGCTCGTAGAATTCAGAGTTTTCGGTTGACCATCCCGAGTTCTCCGCGAGCCATTCCATGAAATCTGAATACATTCTCGCTATGATTATGAAATTCCTCGGAAGGATTACGCAGAGAAATGTCTGGAGTGTCCTTGTCGGCTGACCAACCTCCGAACGTTTCGAAACCGTCTTCTTGGAGTTCTCGGTGAGTTTCGTTATACATGTATCTGGAAATCCCGATCCTGATTATAATACGTCCTTTATTGAAGCTTCACGGGACTCGTCTATGCTTCTGAGAAATTCGAAGCTCCGATTATTTATACTGCAGGGAGGCTCTCTATGGGGTGTCTAGCGGACTTGGTTATGGGCGAGTCTTCCTTCATGGTGGCGTACTGCGATGCATGGTAGACGGGGAAAGAGCATGCTGGCAGGACATATTCATGTATATACATATAGGAAGGGAAGCTCCTCCGGGAACCCGGAACTCTTCACATCCCCAAAAAAAAATCTCACTTGAAATCCCCGGGAACGCTTGCTGTACACGATTCGATGAGAACATCGTTTCCATTCGGGACCATGGTGATGGGAATCGGCTGCACTGATAGACCGAAATCCCAGAAACTTCGCGGAGGGTATAGGGTGCCTAGATCGGGTGTGAGTTCCTGAGTTGCAAGCAAGCAAAAGTCGATTGGATCTCCCCAGGCAGAAGAATACTCAGAATGCAGAAAAGTTACTTACCTAGCAGAAGGTATTCTGTCTCGTAACACCGGGGGTAAGTTGAGCTGCGAGCCCATACTTCTCGGGGCGAATAAGTCAAAAAGTTGCCGTAGAACCTCCTGAGGATTTCTCCCACTCGGAGCGATCCTTGCTTGCCGAGTTTGGTCAGGTAACCCACACCTGCATCGGACGGATGATAATAAGCCCTAGCAAAAACTTGTCCCGCACGAGGGAATTGTATAGGACATAGAGGGCTCTCTCGGAAGCTGCGCTCATTTTTCGCCAAGTTGTCTTCCGCTAGCTCCTTTGCAGGGTGGCCTCAGCCGTGAGCGACCCTCGGGAAATCCTTTTCGATAGAGAGAGCAGATTTCACAGACTCCGAGAAGAAGCCGTCGGTTCACCTGTCCCTGGCCAGGTCGGACCACACACGCCAGCAAGCCATATCCCGCCGGCCAGCATCAGTCAAGACATGGGATTTCTGCATGTGGCTGCATATTCTCCATGCCTCTATGCTTAGCTTCACACCGCTGTCCCGATTCGATGGTCTCTCGATGACACATTGACTTTCCAGGTAGATTCGCTGCTCGAATAAATAGCGAATTCGCCAGCTTTCTCGAAACGAGGAGCCGTGTTTTCCGGCTTGCTCGAGAGACGTAAAATTTCAATGAATCGAATGAAATACCCATCGGATAATCGTCGGGATTGCTCCAATTCGAAAGATGCGAAGGGGCACGGAGGCCGTGACGATGCACGATCATCACGTGCTGCAGCGTGAAGCCCGTCGGATCCTCGTTTGCCTGGGAACGAACTCCACTCTCACCTTATTGCAATCGAGACAAGCGAGCGCAGAGTCGTTTTCGGACGCTGAAGTAGCGGAAGAAGTATTCGAAGCGAACGTGCTCATACCTTGTGAGTTCTTGGAGAGGAAGTGGCACTCCGCGCGAGGACAAGGTAAACAAGAACGGCTCCTGTGGAAAAGAGACCGGAAGATCAAGTCCGGAATCCTGAACGATCGCGAGATTAGGTCCCGCAGAGCACGGAGATCGCCGAGTCGGAAGACTCGACCTCGAACACGAACCTGCGATGACGAGCAAGGCGACCGGCAAACCCCATAATAGGATTCGCTTTCCAGTAGAGAAACTCATGATGGGCAAGCTTCCTCCTACTTCTCTCAGAGAGACCCCTTCTGCTGAGGGAGAAAACAAGTCGGTCAGATCGCAATGTAAACTCACCGTGGCCGACATACGGCCAGGTGTCGATGGTCTGTGCAAGGTCGGTATCAGGACCCAGCTTACACGAGTTGGAAAAACAGCTCGAGACAGAGCAAGTACAACCGTGAATATGCGTCGAGTTGAGCCCAGAAATTCACTGAGCTTGTGATGGGTTCGCCAGCGCGGGGAAAATGCGGACAGATGCTTTCAACATCGTCGCGAGGCACAGCCCACGGAGCCGATACGAAGCGAAAATATAATCATCCAATCTGAATTTGCCCGCAACCACGAGGGCTGGCTTCCGCCGGATACAAGGGTGATTTCAATGCGACTCGGGTACTCTTCACGTGTCGTAATAAATCATCGAGCGAGTCATTGAGAAGAATATTCCCGTCCTCCGACGGTGTCGGAAGATGAAGCAAAGATCGATGCGATGGCGCTATGCAAAGTGGTTCCCCAGAGAGAGGTTTGATGGTTCCTTGGTTCATTCGCTTCCTACGGTATTAATTGATATGTCCGCCTTCCGAATCAAGCGCGAGCGAGCTCTGTGGATCAGAGGTTTGCACGCTCCCATTTTCCGAACGGTCGCTTCGTGAGCGCCGCGACATAGCGATCCGATTCCTTAGTCGGTGCCGCTCGCATTTAGACGTCGTCTGTCTCCGAATAGGAACCATTGCAAAGGGATATGACGTGCTCGAGTTCTCCGGGACTTTGCGTTTCTCGCTAGTGGTCCCAGAAACATTTCGGGGATGCTTCGGAATTCTCGTACTGGAGCTGATCTCGAAGCTGTCATCTGCCGGTGCAGCCGGCTGAGATATTCGTGGTTCTAATTATTTTGCTGATCTCTCGATAATAGGCACATCGATGACCACCTTGCTGCTCATCACGATCGATCTGTCCTGTGTCACATCGGATCCATCCCGAGGTCAACATCATGTCCGTCATTGATCTCTCGGGTGAAAATCGATTCAGACGGCATCCGGAGTCTGGAATCCACACGGTGTCACCCCCTATGGATCTCGTCTCCCGAACTTTGAGATACCACCGTTAGTATGTCCCACAACGACACGAAGAGGGATATCGACGAACATTCGGGACCGCGTAGAACGCGCGGATATCGGATAGATTGGACAGTCGAGGCATGAGATCGTTATGGAAACTGTCGAGCTGTCGCTTCAAAGACATTTCTTGGATCACGAGCCTCGCCGCCAGTCAATGCTTGAATTGCTTGGACACGATTTGCCGCCTTCGTTGACACCAAGTGTTCTGCGAGTGAGGCTAGACTGGCTCACTTAGTACATCTAATGACGCTTTCGATCGCATTCTGGGAATCGCCGCTTGAAAGCGTGGGGCTCTCGAGAGATATCGAGAGCGACGACAGGTCGTTGTCAATGGTTCTGGCGATGAATCGCTTCCTCGGCTCCGCGAAATTAAGAGCTCGACGGGTCTTTCGCGCACATGGAACAGTAAAAAAGTCGAAGGGTTGACGCTCGAGATCCACAATTCTGACATAGCCTCAAGCGTCGTTTTCCCGCGTCCCCGCTATGGCCAATGAATTCGTCTGGCAATCTAGGGCCGTTGAAGTTCAACACCAGTGACCTCGCATTGTCGAATTCCAGCAAACGCTCACATCCGGGAAAATCGCCTCGAGGAATTCTGTGAAGACCCGAGTCGGAATAAGGGAATTGGAAAAGCGGTGGGAGGGCGAGGCTTCGTACTCACGTAGAGAAATATTTTCGAAGGCTCCGTCGCGTTGCTCGCGCATGTCGAGCTAAAGCGTGCTGACACGGCTGTTCCACTGTCAGTTGGAATCCGCGGAGAGGTCACTTACAGGGAAGTACCAGCACTGCCCCCGCGCGATTTCGACGAGATAGTGCGGGATTTCCAGGTCGACTCGAGTCTAGAAAAACGTCATATGTCCTTGTGGCAGGTGGGCCCTTCTGACCTGATAATCGAACTACCTTTATTTAAGGTTATCTATGGAAAATAGCCTATTTTCCATAGGTTTTTCGCTAGAATCTGCCTCAAAACTCAAGCCGCTGTCATGGAAGCTGGATGGATGAGCTCACTCAGAAGAGTGACCTAGAGCCTCTACCGCCATTTGAACTCAGCGCCATTTTCGTTGCTTACACAGTTCGCTTACTTTTTATGCCCTGCGAAGCGCGGCTCTCTCTGAGGTTCTCCACAATATCTCCTACAGCGATGAAATCACATTCTCGTTTGTCCGAAAGCTGAAGCTCTACTCCACGATGTCGCTCCGGTCGAGAACTTCCTTGGTTTCAATCCAAGGTCAGATGGATTCGATGAAATAGAACCCGAAAGCGGCTGAAGGAGCGAGGCCGATCGAGGAACAAGCCTTCGAGATGTGATGAAAGATTTTCGAAAGATTGACGGCCAAGATTACATTGAGGTTGAAGAGTCTGAAGAACTCCACGAGTCAAATTACAAAGATGAAGACTATCTTTATGTGATCGAGTCACATCGCGGAAGATCGTCAAGTTCGTTACCTACAAGCATCAGTGAGAGCGGAAAGAGATCGAAAATGAAGCTCTTGCTCTCATCTTGGCTCACGTCAATGAGATACGCTGGATATACGATCCGGATGAGATATTTAGTTCAGATCAGTCTGGGTTCAAGTATATCGTACGCACGAATCGAACCCTTCCACACAAACGGATGACGTTTTTCTAGACTCGAGTCGACCTGCAAATCCCGCACTATCGTCGAAATCGCGAGAGGCAGTTCTGGTACTTCCCTTGTTAGCATCCACCAATAATTGGCGCTGTCGTGTAGTATGCACTTGTCGCTCCTCAATTCAAAAGGGAGCTCGACGCAGGCGAACCGTGAACGACATGTTGAGAATCTATCAGATGCAAAGTTCGCTGCCTAGGAATTTAACCGCTCCTCAACAATGAGCTGAAATCGCTGGAGCCACTCTTGCTGTTTCAGTATCATCGCCGGAGCGGATGAACCACCATATGCTCTCTCCAGCGTTGATCGGTCATCGAGCTCACGGCGTCTGATCGCTCGACGTTGAGAAGCATGACCCCGAAATGTTTGCTTTACAGTTTGCTCTCTGATTCGCTCCCTCTGGAATTCTATCGCTCGATCTCTCAACCGGACGTGATCGTGGAGGATGAGCGGCGAGGCGATCCTATTATTGTGACAACGACCAGCTGAGTTTTTCAAAAGTGAACATAAATAAATAATTGGCCACCATGTAGACGGGATGATAATGGAATGGAGGCAAGCCGTAATGGATGTCGATTGAGAGCGTTGATTTCTCGAGCAGTGGATATCTTTCCTCCCTGGAACAGCTCTTTTCGTCTGATGTCGATGGGGAGTGTCTCATAGCGAATAATTTGTTTCAAAGCCCACGGGGAGTTCTCCACCAGATCACTGATCTGATGCGTAGTGGAGCTCATCGCGCTCCGTGTCGCTTAGAAGGGATCCTCACCACTCATCATCAATCAGCCTGACAGATTGATCACTGAGCGAAGCCAGCATTGGATAGCGCGGCCGCGAGAGGCGGGGACTTGGCGGAGTCAGTGATTCACCTTTCTCGCATGAGTCCAATATTCGGAGTATTCTTCGGGAAGGAGCGGACTTTTTCCCGGATCACGGCGAAGTGATACGTGTTGTGCAGTTCTGGATAGAAATTCGGACCAAAGAGCCAGCCGAATCCAGCCGCATATAAGCCCACGCCGGACGATCGCACCAACATCGCCCCAATCTCCTATTCTCACAGAGCCTCCTATTCTTACCGAATCCTCGGAACGCGCGCACCGAGCGCCGGATCTATGTAACCCCTCCTACGTCTGTAATGAGGCACAAGTTGTTTCTGACGAGAGAGACAGCGTTCTGTTTTTATTGATTCGAACACTTTATTCGTTTCCCTCTTCTTCCTCGCCCTCGTCTTCGTTGGGCACCTTGTAGTACACGAGCTCGAAGGCGTCTTTCGTGGTCGCAACGACACGGAGCCAGTCGCGAACGCCGGCCTTCTTCAGGTACTTCTTGGTGAGATACTTCAAATACCTGGAATGTAAACGGTGGCGATTCAATCTCTGAAGAAATTCTCAGCGCGAGACGTGACTCCCGGGAAACGGATGTCGCTAACTTTTCGGCACCGGCCTTTCCATACTTGGCAGGCAGGCTTCCTAGATAGCTTCGATTTGCTCCCTTATTTCAAAATATGGCAGTCTCCAGGACCTGTGCGATCCTGCGACCGTGGCGAAGGAGGGGTTCTAAGATTCAGCTTCGTAAGTGTTGCTCGAGTATTCGGCACCGAACTTAGTTGGATTGCTAAGATAGGCTTCCTAGACAGCGGTTCTGTACTCCCGTATTCAATTAGAATGGCAGTCTCTAGGCCTGTGGGGCTCTGAGGACCGTGGCGTAGGAGATCCATCGTTTTAAATTCCTCTTAGATCGATTGCTCCGCCGAAATGCGGGGCAGAGCGACTAGGTACTGCGTCGTCAATCGATTCCTACCACCGGAATCTGATTCTCACCTCTTAGAGAACGCGATGTTCGAGGTTATGAGGATCTTGTTCTTCTCGCGGGACACGACGATGTCCTTGCCAAGGTTGTTGGTCTTGTTGTTAACCTTGATCCTGCTGTTCAGGAAGGCCTCCTGAAATGTTCATGGCGACCGTCAGAATCTTCAGAAGATCTGCAGCCTCCGCCGGACGAAGAGCAGGAGCCAGCAGCAATAGCTTATGGTGTCAACCAAGCATGAAACCAAATGCAGACACTCGAGTCCGAATCGGCGATTAACTGGTGTGTTTCTTTGGGGCCTTTTTATTTTTATAGGAGATGATCCGATCTAGGAATCGGACTCTCCAGCCAAGAGCCCTATCAGCACTCGCGGATCGAGCAGCGGGAGCGGTTGAATTCGAATCTCCGAAGCCGGAAACGTACGCATGTTGGCACGAGGAGTTCGGCCATCCGGGCCGTAGCATTGCGTCACCGACTCGGGCTACTCGGCCAGAATTCTCAGCTTACGCGGGTATGGCCTCGCAAAGACTGAGCTACTGATCTTGGGAGCAAACCACTTACGAACTCGCTGACTTTCATGATGCCATCTTCGACGGGGTGGGCGCAGTCAACGAAGTACTTCAGTTGACCCTTTTTGCCTCCGACCTTCTTGCCGGTGCCGGAGACCCCCTTCTTGGTCTTCTTGACGGGCTTCCTTGCGGGTTTCTGGAAAAACAAATTTCTCTAAGACGAAAGATTCCGGAGCGTCCCCGGTCCCCGAGTACCGAAACAGTGCGTCCGCACGAATACATGTCCGCGGTCATGATTCCACGTGCCACGTGGGGGGGTGAGCGGAAATGAGTCAAGTCCGCTCCGCATCGCGATCACTGGAGGAATCACAGGAATCCACTCAATTCGCGATTTTAGTGAGGGAGGACATCGAGTTGGCGTAGTTTGCCGAGCGCGAGTTCAGAGCGGTCGCGAAAAAATCATCATCACTTTGAAAACGTGGTCTTCGTAGGCTCAAGTGCCAGAGACAATTCAGACCAGAGGCGAGGCGAAATCTGTTGTCTGAGCGGGATATAGAGGAGTATCGCGGCTCGGGGAATCGTTCCGCGCATTGAGCACAAACAGGCACGATGAGATGAATGCTAAATCTGAGAAATTAGTGGGAAAACTTACAGCGGCGGCCATCACGGACGAGTCCTCCGAACGGAAAGGCTCCACAAAGCGCAGACGATGCTCACATAGCCGGACGAGACGACCGGAGCGCCACCTTCCTTTCACATGGGCGGGAGCTCGAGCATCGACCGAACTTTCCCGAGCGTATCGATTAGGATCGGAATGGATAACGTTCCATCACGTTAAAATTGCGCGAGTTTCCCGAGCACGGTTCACCGAGAAAATCGCTGCGGAAGGCGCTGAGCTCGAATGAAAAATATCCGGAATGTAGCTCATTGGTAGCATAGCCAATTGGCTGAGAACCACACACACACCGCCTAGAACGACGTCGACGACGACGACGAAAGCCGACGACGAGACTTGCTCTGCGAGAGAAGAGGATTCCCTGCCACCATCTTGCGGGATAGCCAGTGACAGCTGAGGAAATTTTTGAAATGCTGTTCTAGAGCCGAGGATTCCGCGAGTATCAAGGTAATTTCGGGCTGAGACATCCTAGAGACATATCTTGCATTGACGCCGGAGCTGCGAAATACACAGAAGTTCGGGATTCGCTCAGAACAACCGTACACCCTTCAGGAAAGGGGGCGGATGTCATATTGAGCATCCTCTGCTTTTTCTTTGGATGCCAACTTTTGGCATCCAAGCTAAATCCGCACGTAAGGTCTACGAGTGGAGCAAAGTTCAGGGGATTTTCACATGTGGGGGTCCTGCTGAATTTTTCTCGGTTTCAAGTTCCGATGCTCGCTGATTCAGCAACTTGGCGGTTGCAGAGGAGATTTTTCAATCAAGATCTTTCGTTGCCACATTTCGTTGAAAACGTTCGAAACTCGAAATACGAGATATCACGGACTAGCCTGGGTGAGCGTATACGGAGTATGGTCTCTAAACCCTTTGTAATCGATTCGATTGAATTTCGACGCTCAGCCTCGCGACGTGCAATCAGGGAGGGTCAAGTCCGTTCGATCAGTTCAGGTCGGGCAACCTCGAAATTAGCTCCTGCGTAAGGTGATCAATTTCTGGCGTCTGCTCATAAAATCATGCCATAGGAGCTTTGGACGCAAAGACTCAATAGTTTCGCGTGAATCGATTTCGATGATTTTCGGAGTTTCGGAGAGCGCATTCGATTGTGCTGGGGCTACTGGTCGTACGGGAGAGGCAAGCGAATTCGTGAATAGACATCATCAGTCACGCTGCGCCGTCCTATGAATAGTCCACAGGGGACAAATGTCACTCAATCATTAGGCGCTGAGGGGAAGCACGCGACCTCGTTTACGCAGTCAGCGTGCAAGTCCCCTGTCACCTACAGAGAGCGCATTCTCCCTCTGGAGCATCTTGTTGCGATATGATGGAAGACCCCTGGAGATTGCTCCTGGAGTTTGTCATTCCTAAGTGGTAGCTCCCTCCTGAGAGGTAGTCCCAAGACATGATCAGCGGCATGATACTTCCGATCCCTTTTGTCGAGGAACCGCTCGGTCGACAGTTCTGAATCATACTCCCACTCAAGAAGCTTCTGGGGGGCCGATCCCGATGTCCAGCCTTCCCTACGCATCGGGTTCAGAGTGGCTCGACCCGTTCACGAAACCACGCGCATCGTCCGCTCTAGACATTTATTGAAACAGTGTGTTCTCGTTCATTCCAGATGATCGGTGGGCTGTTCATTTATAACCATAAAGGAGAGGTTTTGATCTCTCGGGTGTATCGAGACGACATCGGCAGGAACGCCGTGGACGCTTTCCGGGTGAATGTAATTCACGCCAGGCAACAGGTCCGCTCGCCTGTGACCAACATTGCACGAACCTCATTCTTCCACATCAAAAGGGCCAATATCTGGTTGGCCGCCGTGACCAAGCAGAATGTGAACGCTGCCATGGTTTTCGAGTTTCTGCTCAAAATGTGTGAAGTCATGCAGTCGTATTTTGGCAAGCTGAGTGAAGAGAATGTCAAGAACAATTTCGTATTGATCTACGAGCTGCTCGACGAAATTCTCGATTTCGGCTATCCCCAGAACACAGATACGGGTATCCTGAAGACTTTCATCACTCAGCAAGGCATCAAGAGCGCCACTAAGGAAGAGCAGGCCCAGATCACATCCCAAGTCACCGGTCAAATCGGTTGGAGGAGAGAAGGGATCAAATATCGACGCAACGAACTCTTTCTGGATGTCTTGGAGTACGTAAACCTTCTTATGTCTCCCCAAGGACAAGTCTTGTCCGCTCACGTAGCTGGGAAGGTCATAATGAAGAGTTACCTCTCGGGTATGCCAGAGTGCAAGTTCGGTATCAACGATAAGCTCACAATGGAGACCAAGACGGGCGCATCGGGCGGAGTTAAGGCTCTAGACGACACTTCGGCCACTTCGTCACGCACGTCGAAGAACTCCATCGCCATCGACGATTGCCAGTTCCATCAATGTGTGAAACTTTCGAAATTCGAGAGCGAACACGCCATTTCCTTCATTCCTCCAGATGGAGAGTTCGAGCTGATGCGCTACCGCATCACAAAAGACATCTCGTTCCCCTTTAGGGTCATTCCTCTGGTGAGGGAAGTTGGCCGCACTAAGATGGAAGTGAAGGTCGTCCTCAAATCAAATTTCAAACCCTCTCTGATTGGACAGAAAATCGAGGTTCGCATTCCAACTCCCCTGAACACATCTGGAGTCCAATTGATTTGCATGAAAGGCAAAGCAAAATACAAGTCCTCAGAGAATGCCATCGTTTGGAAAATCAAACGAATGGCCGGCATGAAGGAAACTCAACTAAGTGCTGAGGTCGAGCTTCTCCATTCTGATGCGGCTAAGAAGAAATGGAATAGACCTCCCATATCGATGAACTTTGAGGTTAGTTACCCCCTCCGTCCCTCGGCGCAGTGTACCAGATATCAGATCGAAATATCAGAACAAAAAAATCGAGAATGTTACGTAATGCTGAATGGCTGCTTTCTTCCCAGGTGCCTTTCGCGCCCTCAGGGCTCAAAGTCCGTTATCTCAAGGTGTTCGAGTCCAAACTCAACTACAGCGACCACGATGTCATCAAATGGGTCAGGTACATCGGCCGATCCGGACTTTACGAAACCAGATGCTAACTCAGCTTCAGTCTCAGCTCGGAAGGTCGATCTTCCTGTCGAACTTGTATCGTTGACGATTATTTGCGCTGAGCGAAACCTAGTGGTTTTATGGTAGTGTCGCTTCAAGGTGGTTAATCACTGCCGCGCCGGAGCCGAAAAGCTTGCGGTTTGTTGGTCTGTCGGTAGGTGGGTCGGTCCTTCTGCCGGTCTATCCGGCTAGTCGACCGACCTCCTATCTGCCTATCTATCATCAACTAGAATATCCCGTAGCTGGAGGGTAACCACCCCGTTTCATCGTACCTACTACTGTAACTCTGGGGAACATTGACATCACTACCAAAACTACTTAGTATCGTAGCCTTGTCTCGATTTGAGTTCGTGAGGAGCAATTCCCTAGTGAAGAGTTTCCTTGATGCAGGAGATCCCCACATGATCCGACTGGACTTGCGCACTCTATTTCAACCAGCTCTTACGAACTCCGACTGTGAACTCAAGTGGGACAAGTGAAATGTTCTATTCGTTTGACTGGTAATCGAATAATTGTTTGCCGAACGGTATACTCTTATGGTTTTGGTGCGGAGAGGTTCATTGATTCCTTGATTGATCGAAGATCAGAGGCGAAAAAGTATTCTAGCGTCCCAGTTACAGCGAATCTTTGAGAGTCATAATCGGGGAGGGACAGAGATGAGCGGAAGGAAGAAACAAACGATTACGTGTGACAAAATGGATCTTCTCTTAAATATGAATTGCAAAGTTCTCGTGGACGAAGAAAAATGTGCTCGCCGCGCAACTGATGCAATATCCACTTGACTGTTAGGTTGATAACTTCGACATGAGTTGTAAATAGATTGGAGCTCTACCCACTCCCGGCCCGATTCCACATTTCATGCACCTTTAATTTGGTGGTACCTGATCGGAGAGAAAATCAGCAAGTTGACTTTCGTTAACGCTCTGATGAATTCGAATGATCATCGAGTTCAATGCGGTCTAGATGCGTGGATTGACACGGAGGAGGTTCGGAACGAGGATGAAAAACTGGAAAAATCCGCGACGACATTAACATTATTATGTTTTTATTTATATAGCAAATAAAGGAACACACATTGCCCGTTTCATTCAGATGCTGAAATTTGGAACAAGAAGCGATGCAGTTTTCGATCCGATTCCTGTTTTCTTCTTCCTAGAGAAGCGATCGATCATCGCCTGATTACCAAAGGCCAGGTTCCGAATTCAAAGAAAAAAAGATCTAAGTCCAAACTTTCGCGAATTGCCTCACGTCTCGTGGACCTAATCACCCTAAATCGAGACAGCAGAATAACTTCGGATCTATCGAATTGAGGGACAGCATTGTCTTGATCGTGGGCCCGGGATGGGAGTTGAAGAATCGTACGAAAGAGGAACGCTCGATATGTGTCGACTTTTACTGAATCACTGGGAATTTTCACTTATCGCTCTCGATCACTCCCGGGTATCGCGGTCGTTCATGAGCACTCCCCGTCAAGAGCTCTATCCGAATGCTCATTTCATACAATATGTAGTACCAAACAGGGAACATCGAATCTCCAAGTCCCCTAGATCGTGGAGAACTCAGAACTCGATCGTGATTGTGAAGCATTGCACGATCTCGCCATTATCATACAACAGCTTTGAAGAGTTCCAAGAGGAAACCATTTACTTAAACGAGCTGGCCAGACGAATCCGAATCATTAGCAATATCACAGATTTCTTCCGAATGTACATACGATTTTTTGATCGTAATCGTTTCCTGTCACACAACACTACTATCCGTCGATGTGGCTATACTTGGTCGGAGGAATGGAAATAGTCTATCACCACGCCTTGGAAGATGCTTTTCTATTTTATCACTGTTTCAGTGAGATTCCTTAAATATCGATATCGGAAACTTGTCGGACGGCATTCATGGAGAAAGTTTGAGACAAGGTAGACCTTCGGCTAGAACATTGGCCCAGAAGTTCGCGCAGCTCGAGTGATATCCGTTGTCACCGAACAGGATCTGAGGCAACCTCAAAGTCAGCGGAAGCGAGCAAATAGCACAGATATCTTCTTCTGCTCGTATCGGCGAACTCAAATGATCCATGCAGACGACGCTCTGTAAGATAATTGGAATTTGTTTAGCGAGGGTCGATCCGAGCTGGCTCCTTTAGAGGAATTCACGTGAATAACAGGAGTTGATAGATCTGATCTCAGAAGAGTGAGAGAGCCGCCCGGAATGTCGGATTCCAATAACTTACCAAGTGGAGTCGAGTCGCAAGGTCGTCGAGTTTGCCCCGCCAGGTGTCATCGACTTGTTTAAGCTGGGTGCTCAAACCTCTGACGCCGTGCAAATCGGCGGACTTCTTGAGTTGTTGGGTGACGTTGTAAACTTCGAGAAGACTCGCAATGTAAGCTTGGCCCTTCGCAGTGGACAAAATCTCGCCAAGAACGACAGGATCGTCTCCCAAGATCACGGAGGCGCTTTCTAGGATCGCAGCTGCTTTGCTCAGAATTCGCTGCCAGCCATCTGCCACCTGCTGTCTCGTAACCTCCTTCGATTGGTTTTCGGGGAAATTCTGGAGGAATAATCCCGTGCTCGGCAACGCGGAGTTTTTCCCCAGGTCTGTCGGATCTGGAGGTGGGAACATTGGCGGCTGCGCCCAACAGAACTCATCGGAGCCCCTCCGCTTATTCTCGGACGTGGACTCCGACGCGCGTGGCGCTTGGGCATCTTCGGCTTCGATGGTCCACTCGAGCGTATCGTCCTCGTCACCGTTTTCGTCATCGGGTGGACTTCGGGAATTGAGCTCCAGAGACACGATCGACCCTTTGGTTGGTGACGAATAGTTACTCTCGGTGCTCGGACCCAATTCAAAGCTGGACAGAGAGGCGCATTCGGCGTAGTTCGCTTTTGACGTGAAAAGAGATAAGCGCTTCTCCCCGCCCCGAGACTCGCCTATACTCATGCCAGAGGCGACCGATTTGGCGGGTGATGCTTCGACCGAACTCGGATGCGAAGCCACGGGACCATCGACGGCCAGGAAGCCGATGTCGATATCTTGGAGCTCGATGAGGGCCGATGTCGAATCGCGATTGGTGACTTCGTCGCCGGCGCTCAGAGAGAGCAAATCAAATTGCGACAGGTCTCCGTCGAATGAACTCTCGACTGCAGGAATGCTGGGGAGTTTGATGAGCGATAGAATATCCACTGGAACTCCTCCGTCTCCCCCACTCGAGGTCGAGGCGCTGGGTGCGGAGCTCCGGGAGGGTTTTTGCTCTCTCTCGCCTGCGGGGAACAACAGGGTCGGGTGCGCGTCTGATTCGCGAGCAAATGACTCCCCGTCCGGACATTCATCCGGTGATCCATCGAGAAGACGGAACACCGAGTACTTGTCCTCGTCTGGTGGGCTTGGGAAATCTTTCGCGTGGCTCGTCTCTGAGTCAGGCCCCGGTGCTCGATTTTGAGCCTCCACGGGTGCGCTTTGGAAGTCATCGAAATCATCGAATCCGTCATCGACACCGTTCGTTGCGACAGCGCTCTCTTTCTGGGTCGTGGAATTGATCTGAGCTGCTAACGGAGCCTCATGCCTAGCGTCTTTGATCGCTTTCCTGACGGTCTTTTTCGATGCCGATTTTCCCCCGGGAGCTTCGAGCGAAAAACCTAGCCATGGGTTGCTCTCGCTGGGGGGCTGCACGTTTTCTGCGACGGGAAACGTTATAGAATCGAACAGCGAGGCTGACGGCAGCACTTTCAATTGTTTGGGCGAGCTCGCTGCGATTGTCGACTTCGGAATTTTTTGACACGGTGAACTTTGTTTGATTTGTGAACTCGTTGGAAGGAGATCATCAGGGTCCCCAGCGCGGATTGTTACAGGCGCGAGCGGAGACGAAATGGAAGATCTATCTACAAGGTACTCGCTGGGAAGCGCTTCAGGTACTGAGATTCTCAGAGGAATCGGGTCCGCCGCACTCCGATTTCCGTCTATCCTGGACGGAGCTGATTGGAATTCCGCGAAATCGTCCTCGTCTTCCGCCGATTGGGTCGTGACCGCTGTCAGGTCTAGGGGATTCCCGTTTGCTTTTGGTGAGACGGTTGGTTCAATCGACGTTTGCTGAGTTGAACTCGTTGCGTCCGGAACTTGAGGGGGAATCGGCCGACCGATCTGAGGCTGAACCACAGCTGCCAGAGGTAGTGGATACCCTGGGATGGCGAGCTGAGGTATGGGAGCGCTTGGTAGAGTCGGGAGCAGCTGCAAATTCGGCTGCTTGCCTACCTGCAAGACGAGAATGCGTTGTTTCTTGAAATAATGACTCTCATGAATTTCCCCTCTGCGACCCGGAGTTGGATCTAGGATTGAGCGCCGAGTGACAATGAGATTCCAAGATTCCTTTCCACGGGATTTTCCGTCGTAAGGATCAGATGATGTATGACAACGGAGCGTCTCGGTGACATTTTCGAGCGAATCTTCCGATACACACCTGACACAGAGCTACTAAAGCTAATGACTGATAGAATTCGTGCCGAACCAAGATGCCAGGGACTGCTCTGGAGCATTGCTCCCATATCGAGGCAAGAATCGGTTGCGGCAAGCCCGATGCAAGGAGAAGCTGGTAAACTTTAGCCGTGTCGAGCGGAGTTCGCTCCCCAGGCGCCTCGACCCCGTTCGGAACCGTGACGAGCGCTTCCAAATCCCTATAGATGCGCGGTACCCTCGACGGATCTAGCCATGATGGACCTGGAATCAGATCGTATTGAGGGATAATCACATGAGAACACCTGCGATGACTATCTGTCATGGATCCGAGAAGCGCTGTGAATCTTACGATTTTGTTTCAATTTCGATGCATCGATCAGGCTTCCTGAGAGGAGTTTTTTCTCGAAGGATTTCAAAGGGTCCATTGTTCCATGGAGCAACCTGTGGAGGAATCGAATCGAGAAAGTCATCTACCGCCTCAGACATGCCAACATCGAGTCCCCGAAGTAGTCATCGGTAAAGGAGGCTCTGACCCCATGCGACAATGTCTCCTCCATTATTTTCGAAAACTTCGCTGGTGAGGGCGCGCTCCATCTGATGGACAATCGTGGTGCTATTCAAGTCTTCTCGATCCAAGTGCGAATTTTCAGAGGTCCTCATGATTTTCTGCCGTAGTCGGCACACGGAAACAAATGGATGAGACGATTTCGCGGAGTCAGTGTCGACGTACCAGCTGGCTGATCATATGGAGGCGAGGAAAGATGCGGAAAATCAAGTTTCCGAAACCACCGGACCTTGATGGACTCACCGAATCAATCTCCGGAGGGTTGCTGGAGCACGGAGCCCAGCGTCATGTTACGGAGATACTCTCCGGGGTCATTTGCGGAGAACACGAATCGAACACACCATTCATCTGCACAGTCTCCGGAGTGTCCAATTGAACCGTATTGCACAAGGGAGCGAATATGACGTCTCTCCACAGTTTAGCTAAGCCCTTCGCTCAATGGCATTCGTACGGAGCTTCGAGCGCAGACGCCGTTTTGAGTGAGGACTCTGCCTCCGCTGGACGGGAGGGAAGGAGGCTGACCCAACGGTGTGTGACGGCACAAAAATATATTTACACGAGAAGAACGAGGAGAGAGAGCCGACTCCTCAGAGAACATCAACGAAAATGGCTGCGCCGTCCCTACGACTGGTAGGTCAAACAGAAAAGAACTTTTCACGGATATTCGATACGCACACACTCCCTGCCCAGACTGAGGATCGTTCTACGCGATGCCAGTTCCTCTGAGGTCCTGCGGACATGGCTCCATTGACGTGCGAAATATGGTTCCGAAATGTTGCGCCTCCGTCGGATCTGAGAGTCTGAACTTCCGAATATCTCTTCGCAGAGCCGTCTCGCGCTTGGCCGCACCTCGACCCTTACAAGTCGACCGTTTTCCAGTAAAGGTGAGAAGGGTCAGATAGATGCTCTGCTGGAGAGAGAGCACAAGGATTTGATAGAAGTAGAGGCCAATGTGCCCGTTCATGCATTGACGGGGGTTCCGGAAGAACACATCAAAGGACGGTGAGTTCGGATCTCCTACCGATATCCATCGGAATGTCATGTGCAGTATATTGAAGCATGAGATTACGTCGAAAAAATACGGAGAACTTTCGAATAAGTGGTCTCCTCCACTCAGGGTGGTGAGGATATACAAGCCGACGAAAAATTGTATGCAATCTGGGACTGCGAACACCCATCACTGGAGCATGTCGTTCGACAATCGGCAAAGGTGGACCAATACCCTTATGGGTTGGACTTCGACCGGTGATCCGCTCTCGAACATGTGAGTTCAAGAAGTATACGCGGAATTCGGAGTACTCGATCCGGAGGGAGCTGGTTATCATGGGTTTCTTCCCGGAGAGCGAAATTATGTTCCGGATCGACCCGCTCCGATACCATCCACTAGCTGATCTCTCAATTATAGGAATACGGAGTTCGCCACGAAAGAGCAAGCTGTCGCGTTCTGCGAGAAGAACGGCTGGGAGTATTTCATTGATGAACCCGCTCCGCGCCGACTCCCGAAGAAGAATTATGGAGAGAACTTCGCTTGGAATAAGCGGACCCGAGTTGGGCAGAAATAGGAATCCAGACAGATATCTAAGGGGTTGTTTATGTTAAACCTGAGAGATGAAATGATAAAATATAGCAGAAAAACTCCTCGGCTTCTCGTTCTGATTGAGCGCTATGTGATTTTATTGCGGACTCCTAGGTTCCTGCGTCATAATGTTCCGTTGCAATGAACAATGTACAATGCACATACACATGTTGACAGTATACACGACTTTCGAGACCAAAAGGCGGCCTAAAATTTAAGCGGACGGATTTCTATAGGGAATCGATCAGTCCTAGCTTAAACCATCGCTCGCTATCTCAAAGGACAGCGCGCCGCGAAATCGACAAAGGATAATCGGAACTAGAAAACACCGATGAAGAAAATGACACAAACAACTCAAGAAAGGTTTGAGCCGGAACTCGGATCGAAAACATATGAGATTTACTTTGAGATGTTCGTCCGATGATCGGAAGAAGCGTGTCGGACGACCATTCGTCCTCCATGTACAACCAACACAAAACATACGGGGCATGATGCTGTCTGCGGGAATATCCCCAGATGACTAGACCTCGACGGCTTTCCGGAAAATGACTAGTATAGCGATACAACTGAGAAAGAATGCACTATGCGGAGCTGACTTTCCGCATGCCGCTCACTTATTGCACGGTTGAGTATACACTGGACGCGATGGACACTTTCGCCTGATCTCGACTAATCCACACTGGACCTTCAGATCGGGATTCCTCGCGAATGACATTAACGTACACGATTGCACTACTTAATCCGACATCGAGCTGCTGATATGTATGCCCCCCACCCCGCGACGCTTCGATATCTCGAGTATTTCACGATGCCCCCACCATAAGGGTGCGAAAATCTAGGGCGAAGTCGCGGATTCCAAGCCCGCAGTCACCTTCGTCGACATCGTATCTCCCGCTCGGATCGCATAGCCTCCCCAGACCAAGGTTCACTTCCAGCAGCGGAGACTGAGCGGATTTCAGGCAGGGGGTGAATCGTCAGGCAGTTTTTCATGGATTCGATTGATCATCATTCGGTAGTAGAAGTGTCTGTAGTCCTCGGGCAGGACGTCGAGCTGCTTTACAGCTTTGTTGAGCATTTCCAACGCCCGACTGGCGGCGATGGGATCTTTGTGGTTCAAGGGATCTTTCTTGTCGTAATGGTCCTTGTCGAGATGCCTCCAGAGACAGGAAACAGCTACGCCAAAATCTTTGCAGATCGAGGAATGAAACCACAAGGCGGGTATGAAGAGTACGTCGCCGGGACTCGAAATTTCGCATTCCCATCTTTCGGCATTGGCGAACCTCGGAAACTTCTTCACATCTGGATGATCCACATCCAGAACTAGCGATTTGTCTTCATGAAGGTACAAATTCGAAGATTGGTTCGGAGGGAATAGGACTATGCGTCGCGAACCTTGGACTTGGCAAAGAACAGTGTCCATTACCTGTGAATAGAAAATCAGCGTTGGAGGGAATGTCTCTCTTCGAATCATGTCATGAACCCTCGGGAAACTAAAGCTAGTAGGGGCAGAGTATAGGGACGCGTATTCTCGGTACCGTCGGAAACTCATGTCATCGGCACTCTTGTCAAGAACACAGAGAAGCATGAACCTACGTCATACTGGATCCAAGTGACGATTTCCGGACTATTGACTTTCAGACTGGTAGAAACGAGCTTCTCCTTCGGGATGAGATTCGGCATCTTGAAATCATCCTGAAGACCTTTGTGGTGCTTGAAGAAGTCTTCTCTCTTGTCCTCCGACGGACGTAGCGTGTAGTATTCCCTCTCGCACAGGAAATGATCTCCCGAATGCTTGCCCATTCCTGAACACCGTTTCACCTATACCAGAAAATCTCAAGTCAGCTCTCGAGTCCGAGACTAAGAATCACCGCGATATTTTTTTTCCGGGACGAAAACGATCAATATTGACGATGGTCCAAGCATTGGCTCATACGTACGAGCTCATTGAAGGGCAGTGTTCTGTTTAGGAAGTTCTTGTTCATAAAATCGAACCGGGACTGTGATGAAACCAGAATGTTGACGGACTTTGATCCGACACTATTCGACAGGTAGCGCGCGTTCCATTTATAAACACACGGTCCGAGAGTGACATTCCGAAGTAAAGCTGGTTCCCTCTGTAAGCAAATGTTCCCATCATGAAAGATGCCGAGTGGGAGGATGACGCAATGGGGTTCAATTTGCGCGGTCGTTGAAAAGGAGAATTTTATATCCGCTACCAATCGATCACTTTTCGGAACTCGGGGCTCGAGCCGCCTATAAATACTTCACGGAAGCAAAACCTCGAAGTATGCGCGAATGTTTACAGGCTCCGCGGAGCACTTCATTCCTGATTCAGAGCGAGTTCCGACTGGAAACGTCCCAAGTTCTGATCTGCACGATTTCGCGTAGCGAACATCTCGTTTTCTCCGCCATCGAAATCATGAGAGACAGACATTCTTGCTCATTTTTAATTGTGCGCGAACCTTTTTGTAGATTACGGTGTAGAAACTTTCACGGTCGGCTCCTTCGTAGCACGGAACCTTCCTGTAATCAAACACCTCGGGATCCTCCTTTTTCTCGCCCGAATCCCCAGCTTCGGGAGCTTTTTCATCCTTGTCGTCACTCATAATGCACTTTTCAAATTGGACGGAGAGAAACCTTTTCTGGCCATCTGATCATGGCCGCGGCGGAAAACTGTCAAACTCTCTTCTTCCTCTTCTCAGCTCAGCCGTCATCGCATCGTATACGGAGGAGAGAGTCGAATAACGCTGCTGCTATTGAGTTGGAGCGCCCATTGAGTTATATATATTCTTCTCCGGGCGCTCCGGAGCTCGCTCCGAAAATACAGCTTGTACTCTTAAACACCATCCCTCCTTCACAAAATCCTCGCATGATTGTGCGTCGACCGTATGGGAGACCCATTCGGCAACAACAGGTTGGGGTGTACATGAGCGGAAAAAGTAATGTCTGATGTCTGACTGTCAATGAGTGAGGTTCAGGCTGCCTGGGGAGAGGCGATGAGCTCTGTGATCTTTGTCTCTACTGCCAGGGCGGTCCGGCGATTATTTGACCGAAGTTCCTCTGCGTTTTCGGCTCCGCGGTTCCGTACTTGCTCTTAATGGCGGATCCAATATCTCTCCCCGGCCCATAGGGCTCAATGTTGAGGCCGAGAATCAGCGGCGCTTGGCCCCTACCAAGACAATGGCCTTGGCCCCCCTCAAGGAAAAATTCTGGATCCGCCTCTGCTTGGTGGATCACGCTGGATCTAGCTCACTCTGGCTGAATGTGTCCTCCGGATTCTCCCGCATTTCCGTTGATTCAGGTCACTCTACTATTCCCGGAAATCTTAGGTGAATAGTCACTGGAGCGAGTCGCGAATAGCGACTCGAGCTCGATGGTCCCGACGGAAGATCAGGACAGAGGGCATGAACGGTTTTCCCGGACGCGAGAGAGTACTCGGGTTCTAGAAGGTCACGATTCGACTGAGCAGAGCGCACTTTTTGTCTGATTCGATTTCTAAGCGTTCACGAGGAATGCCGACTGCGAGACCGAAGCGAACCTGTTTGAACCTACCGAAGCGCGGAATGCCCGAGCGAGATATTCAGATCTGACGGGAACGAGGATGAAAAGTTCACGGGAGTGAAAAAGAAGGGAGACGAATCCAATGGTGATTGAGCTGGATGCGGGGGCAGGCGACAACGCCTCGAATCCACAGGAGCAGCACAGGATATCGGACTCAAGATGCGCTTCAACTCGACTCCTCCTTAGATCGTTCTCGAATATCGAGACAGGCCGAGTTGAGCGATCGTACCGGAGAGCAATGTTCCCCTGCCCTGATTTGTCTTGCGGTTGCTCGCAAAGCTTAACGCGGGCAATAGCGAACTAAAGTTCCGGGATGTTCTTGAAATCTAGTCCAACGAAGGCCACGGCTCCACCACGAGCAACGATCGATGAAGAAAGACCAGCCTGCCTTGTGAACCGATCGAATGGCGGAACCCAGAAAGGGCCGGGAGAAATTTCCTGGCGCAAGTAGAGGAGGCGAGTAGGTACATTCGATTTGCAGAATTCGGAGAATATGCTGCAACGGTACCACAGCTTGAGTATTCATCTGCGGACTCGAGCAGCCTGTGGGGGAAATGTCGGATGGACATCCGAAGAGTCCGTTGCATCAGTCTCCCGACTTTCGTTAAAAATCGTGGTCGCAGGCATCGGAACCAGATCTCGGCTGACTGGAATCTTCCGGTATTTAATCTTTCCTGCATAATCACTTACACAACGAAACTCGATTCGCAAGCCTATCTGTGTCTCACATGATCAATGATCTCTGTAGCCCGTGTGCACCTTCCGAGTAAATCCGCTCGAAGTTTTCAGCTCCGGTCCGGAGATTTCAAATGTACAGCCGCATTCTCCGCGTATCCTAACTATGATTGGCCATGGTGCGAAGCTCAAGCCCACCTTCGTAAGAGTCAGAACGAGGCTACTAGGTCTGGAAGCCGCCGAGCTTCGCCCTGTAGAGAGACTTCGGCTTGAGCCTGGCTCATATTCGTTTGCGAGGAGTATTGTATTGATGCTCCAGCAAGGTTCGGGTTTTCCATCAGCCTTACAATTTGATGAAATGAGTAGTTCTGGAATGGGGGAACTGAGTCTAGAGCAGGATGTCGCCATATAAGGATGGATTCAAAAAAATAATGAACGATCATATCGACGGCTCGGATTTTCCGGGTTCTCGGAGATGGATAAAGTTTCTGCCTCGAGTATGCTTGTCTGGAGGGGGTGTCCGAACGGTAAAAAGGGTCTGAATGTTTTGTCTCCCCATGCCTAGCCACAGCGGGCCCATCATGTATTGGAATCAAACTCGGTTTTGTGCTTTTGTGATTTCAGTCTCGAGATTTCGCAGAACGTCTAATTTAGCTTGTGGATCTTATCATGGGACTCGAATTTCTTCAGATTATCCAGGTTGCTCCACCATTCCTCCAGGAAGGTATTCATGATCAGTTTGAACCACGGTGTCAGCTTTTCGCCGCGGTTTTCGATTTCATCTGAAAAAGATTGTTACGCACGCGTACTCAGTTCAAGAGATCATGGATGACAACCCACGCGGAATTCACCCTCTCCAGTACCTCCGGTGAGATCTTCACCCTACTTTGATCAAATATCAGGACAGCTCCGGAGCTCAAAAACTCAGTAGAACTCACTGGCGAAGTTCTTCAAGTCTTCTCTCTTCAGATAGCGGATCGACTTGATTTCGTTGGGATCCGGCTTCATAACCTTGATGTCCTTCTTCACGAACAGGATGTAGTCCACTTCGTGTTCGCCCCACATCCCGTCCGATGCAGCGATATATTTGATTCGAGTAATGTATTGGAAGCATTCGAGGGGTAGCTGGGGGTGGGAAAATCTCAGAGATTCATCTTCGAGAGGCTACTCTCGATCCGAGATCGCATACTTTTCCATGTTCGCAACCGATGCACTCCAGATTGTCTATCGCTGATCTCTGGTATATCTAGGTGTTCACCTCATCGGCCGGAATGCCAAGTTCTGCGAATATCCTTCTCTGGGCAGCTCTTTTGACCCCCAAGACAGGATCCTCCGTGTGCTCCGAAGGCACTGCCAAGGGATGTGAACAGCAAGAGTTCGTGTACTGCCCGGGGAATGTGATTTTTGCGTCAGACCTGCGGATGTTGAAGAAAATCGAGGTTATGATAAAAAGTTTCCGTGGAGGTTGGGGGAGGATAAAATTGGTGGTTCTGCGGGAATCCACGCGCGGGGTTCCTCAGGAGAAAGAACGTCGCGAGAAGGGCTCGTCGAGGAAGAGTAGAAATAGCGATCGATTCAACACCGATTCCGGAAATGACAGCTCAAGGCACTGTGATCAACTGATGATTGCTTCCTAGGCTCGAACCCCACCTTTGCTGTATCAGCAACTCGCCCTTCGAGTTGAACAGGAACACAGAGAACGCCCGATGTAACCAACCTGTAGTCGGAGATTACCAAATTCGGTTTAACATTCGTTGCTCAATCGTCTCGTTGGATGTAGAGAAACGAATCTCCATGAACACCCAGAAGCTGAGCAAGTGACTGGGACTCACCTTTATTGATGTTGGACATGAGATGACAGTCCTTTTTGCTGCCCGAACCGACGGCCTTGTCGTTTTCATCGACCAAGATGCACTCTTCCTTCAACAGTTGCACTTGGAAGGGGTCGAGATCATCGAGCATGCTTGGTGGTGGCGAGGCTTCGGCACGGCAGGAGAGCACTGGACTTTTTGCAATGGTTTTGGGTGGAGGTACAGTCAGAGCAGAGGTGTTCTTTACGGCGGAGGAGATCATGGCATCCCTGATCATTAAAGCGGAGAGGCTCGATGAGATTCTATTTATCGGCATCTCGACCGCAGAAGAATCTGCAGTTAGACGCTGCGCCGCCCGCAACTAGTCGGAGACCGCAGAGCAATCGTGCTTGACTTACGTCTATGATCAATGATTGTAGCCATCCACACAATATGACATAAGAACAAGGAGTCTCCGAGACTTACCTTCTGAACCCCGCCATGGCTCGTCGAGCGTCCGATTCTTTCCGCGGGTTGAACTGCCGGCGGATATTGTCGACAAATCGGCTGAAGACGCGCATCGCTGGAGATGGATAATAAGACCAATAAAGCTTAAGTCATCGAAGTGTCTCTGGGGGCGCTCACTAATCACGGCTATTAGCCGAGAGTCTCATTATTCTCTGAGCTGCAAAAAATGGGGGACAGAGACTCTGAGACTCTACCGATGTTCGCCTTCTTTTTCTATGGTGAGAGGAGTCAATCTAAAATCCAGACGCTCAGACGATTCGCGTCGGAATCGAGCGGCCTGAAGCGCGGAGTGTCGGCTGGGAAAACTCGCTGGAGCAGTCAGATTGGCTCCCGTGTCCTTTGCCCACTTAAGTATTCGTCGAATTTCGAATACGACGCGATTTCCGAAGCGGAGCAATCCTGTCGGAGCCGCTAGATGTCTTATCCACCTGGGAAGTTTTCGTGGGTCGGGGTCGAACCAGAGAGAACTCATTCCGCTGGTCACATGATGAAATAGTGAGGGGCGTCTCGAATGTCCGGCGCCAGATCCGACGACAGCAGCGGGTTAATTCCACTCAACAGAATTCCACTGATGAGAGACAGTCTCGTCCTCATACAGCTCGAGTCAGACGGGGCTTGGCTCCAAAAGACAGGATTCGATGCTCGGCCATCTCATCCGGGACCTAGGTGACGCCCTCGGACGGTGGTCGGGGGAGCTTGATGGTCCCGGGGGAGCTTCCCGGCTTCACATCATCATGGCTATTGTTCGTCCATCGATTACGAGGGAATCGTTCGGGAGCGGGGGAGGATCTCTTCGGTCCATCAGCCCCGGCATGAGTTGCCGGATTGACATGAAAATTCAAATACTCAGGTACTTTCCTCCGCTCAAGACTTTCTTCCGGCTCTGCTTCGAACTCATTCTGGAACCCTCGCGTAAATCGCTGCTCGAGAAGAGGGGTCTTAGTCTTTGGACCTGTGGTTCGGAGTCTCTGATTCTCGGCGACTCGGCGCTAACTTTTAGACGAAGTGATGGCTGAGATAGTGATTGTGATTAGTGATGGAGCCGGCCATCTTGGGAAGAACGTCGCTTTCTCCGTGATTAGGGAGTCAGCGAGTGCGAGGCGGTGCCAGCGATCAGCAACACCAGCGCAAGCAATCAGGCGATTCGTCTTGGGATTCGATGCTCCGGCGACATGCCAGCTCGCCTAGCTGACGGATCTCTGAGCCCTGGATTGAGTCGGTTCCAGATAGTCGGGCTTTCTTCGGTGACTCGGGTGCTCGATCCGCCATACATACAGCCAGCTGGGACATCCGATCGTAGTTCGTTCTCTGTAAACGATTGTCCTCTGGCCGGGGGCAGGCGAGGAGCGACGCATTCCATTAGAGTCACCGCACAGGATCAGTGGCGTACCCAGGGGGGGG